GCGTCGACATCGAATTCCAAACTTTACTAATTAACGACGTTATTAATCGGCATCTGTCGCGAAATATTTGCTAGCACATCCTAACGAGCCCCGGCCGGTCAAGAGAGTACTATCATCGCGAAAATTCGCTACGAACCGCTATGCGCGCACGCTTCCGCATAGCAAAATATCATTTTATAATAGTTATCGAGAATAAAACGGCAGTCGAAAGAATAGACCGGAATTACCCGCAATCGACCACCGCGTCGCTCATCGCAATTTCGATAATTTCGCGCGTACTCTTGCTCGTGAAAATAAGCGCCACGACATCGACGCGTTTCTCCCTCGTCTCTCCAGCCATACGACCGCTTGCTAGTCGTTGTTTTTCTCCGCATCGAACCAGTGACTGAAACGATCGCAATTCCGACGCGACCGACTTGTTATGTTAACGCGTTGACTGGCGCAATGACATTAGAGAACTCTGCTTTGACTGACATTCAGTCACTTCTAAATCAGCATATTATATTAACGAAGTGTACAGATTAACTCTGTTTAATATTTAGCCAAAAATTAATTATACCGATTATACTTAATATCTTCTGCAAAACTCACAAAAAATACACCTAAGCGAGTTAACTCGTAGTTGGCGCATAAAACAGAGAATTCTTCTCGCACACCAGCTATGAGATAATTCATATTTGACGGTCAGTGTGTCAATCAATTTCTGCGAGTTACGCGCCGGTCACATTTAATTCCCGAGACACGGACAAATTTTACTTCGAATCATCGCGTTTGCACTGTCACGAGTGAACAGTGAAAAGATCTGTTTTAATCTGCAATATCGAAGACCAATCAGGCTCGTTATCGCTCGATGTTATCAACGTTAATTATTTGCGACTAAATACGCAATTGATAGTAGCATAACAATCTTGTAAATCTTTCACGTTCACTCTCACGCACACATATATATACACATACATATGCACGCTTACGCACCTACACACGCAAACATTGTATACAACAGCGTGTACATCCGACCAGGAACGCGAGGGTGAACCGCCGGATGGGGCGAGACGAGCCTACCACAACGATCGGAGCGGAAGACGATGATTCGACCTATCGAAGAAGCTGTACGCGGACGTCGGAATTACCACCTTAACGCGCGTTCGACACTTGCACAACACACTTGCGCGAAAATAGCACGACGAGCTGAGCTGACACGAGCGGGAGACGGAGAAGAAAGGGAGAGACCGAGGCAGCCAGAAGAGGAAACGTGATCAGGGGAGGAAGAAGACGTTCGGGGGAGAAAGAAGAGAGAGAGAGAGAGAGAATGTGTATGTGAATATGTGCACTGACCCGGCTCTCTCTTTCTTACTCCCCCCTTCTCTCTCTCTCTTTCTTTCTCTCTCTCTCTCTCTCTCTCTCTCTCTCTCTCTCTCTCTCTCTTTGTGTTTCTTTTTATTTCTCTGTCTCTTTCACCACCCTTGACAGTTTTAGCGCGTAAAAGGAAACGATCAGCTTACGTGCGCGAAATGATCGCTCTGTCCCTCCGTCTGTCGCGAATGAGAGCGTGACGATCCTCTTCGCCGGCTTGCGGACGTCGTCGTCGTCGACGTCGGTCGGCCGCTCGCTCTCGCCACTTCGGCCACCTAGGAATCCCCGAATAAATCGCCCGAGCCAGTGAGGAAGCCAGCCGACGGCTATCTCGAGACTGCTACCAATGCCAGCGGTAAGGCGTCCCGATGCCCGAGCGCCGCTTCTTCTTCTTCTCTTCTCTGCCTCCTTTACGAGGCTTCCTCTACGCGGCCTCGCGGTCGCCGTCCTAGACGACGTCCTCGACGTCGCGTCGAAAGTCATCTTCACGGTTGTTCATTCGAGTTTATGATAATCGCCTTGATCATGACGCCGCCGTGACATCCTCTGGACATCGACATCCTACGCGAACATGTCGTCCTCTACAACTTCGAGATCGATCGATTAGGTCTTCTTCGGTCGCGTCACTTGCTCGGTCAACTGAGAAGAAAAAGCACGTGTTGGAATGTACATATGTATGAATTTTTACATCTTAGAGTAACATCTTGCATTTTTATCATATCACCAAGTTGTGTTCCCTATATAGCGTGTATTTCATTATTTCGACTCATTCAGCATCAAACAGGATTCAGAAGAACTACTGATCTCGTTGATCTTTTAAGCACCTGAGACTTATTTCAAATTTCATATTATAGATATCAGATTTATTTGAAAAATTCTATCATCTGTCATGTGTAGATATAAGAAATTGATACATTTATTGATATTTGTTATAGATCATTTTTGAGTTCTTTCATGTTAACTCTTTAATTTCACAAATATCCAATATCTTGACAAGCGGTAACCTGCAGGAAGGAAGCTTCACTTTCTTCAGAGGATGAGTTTATTTCTCAGCTCGCCGGAGGGCGCGATACTTAAAAGGCTGAAAGTAAACGACTTTTGCTCCTCCAATTAATTGTCAAATTCAATTGCACCTCCTTCGCGGTTCATTCATTTCTTATCAGGAGATAGCGCAGACTCGAGGGAGTCACATGCCGTAAAACACCCACTGATTCTCGCGACGAATCTGTCGTGTTTTTATATTTCGCATCCACGTGAATTGGAGCGCAGTTATTGCGGAAGCGTTGTTTTATGAGATGTAGACGCTGATTCGTCGCGCGGCGAATTGACTGCGCGTTTCGGCCGCTTCTAATAATAATCGATGCCTACGTCTGTCCAGGGATTTCTCCCTGCGGATCCAAATCGATACCGCGCGGGCTGCCTGCCGGAGCAGGCCGCGCGGCGTTCTGTCGGGTGCACAATCTCTCTGCTGCTGATCAGCTGTGACGTCTCGTTACACGCTGACACCTAGATTGCGAGCGACGCCGATGGGAGCTATTTGCGTATCGAGTCCGACACAATGTAGCAATGCCGCGCGTTACCGGCTTAATATCAGATAAAAGCTTGATTGTACGGGGAAGATTATCCGGCAATTCCCAGACTGCGAATCGAGACGAGCCCAAAACTTCTGACAAGTCTGCGTTGGACATGGATCTTAATGTCAAAAACTACAGCTTATACTACAGGTTTATGACGAATTGTCGAGTCACGTTCAATGAACTTTGTATCTTGGATTAAAATAAGTTTAACTTGCGGTTAGAATTTTCAAGGATATCACCCAATTATCAAGTCGTGTCGGATGAGAACAAACTAAAAGAAAAGAAGTTTACTGTCAACCTACATCTGACAGATCTCGCACTCGCAGCATCCTTGGTTGAAATCATCAAGGACATTATCCAAAATTACCAACCAAATTATCGGGATCTCACGTCAGATGGGAACAAAATTAAAAAAAAAAAGAAACACAAAAGAAAAATCTAAACTCGCAAATGTCCATCTCGTTGTGCGAGCAGCTTCAAACCCAACGAAGAGATCCGCGACAAAACGAGATCGGCGAGAAGAGAGCATCATTCGCGTCTCGATTACATATCGGTTTCAAACTTCTCGCCACCGGATCCATCGATGTGGTTACGAGGAACGCGTCAGGACCGCACGATTTCTCTCGCCCCCGTCGATGAGGCGCCAACACGTGCGGCTCAGAGAGCTTATTACGATCGAGACGCAAATTCGAGGATCATCCGAGGAAAGTAGGGAGGTAAGAGGGATCTTCTCGTGAAGAGCGGCAGATGCTGTAAATGATATCGAAGAGCACAAGCAGAAGCTACAGGTAGTCACTCTTGGCATCGTGCAATCCTTGGCATGCGTTACACAGAGTGTGGCCGTCGTGCACAAAGAGAATATAATAATATTATAACTTTTTTCCGTATAAATTCTTTCCGAATTTATTATATTTCCGACTTCTGCAAAAATGAACTGTCAATAGAGTTTATTTGCTAAGAAACATAATCAATCTTTTAAAACAGTACATTTTAGCTCCTTATACAGATAGCAATAACATGAAACAGAAGGATAATTAAACTAATAATAATAATAATAATAGCAATAATTAATCATATCAACTGAAACAAATCCTTCAATTATATCATATAATAAAATGAACGGGAGAAATAAAAATACAGAATGAACAATTAAGGCAGAATGTCAATATGTTCCTTGATTGCAAAATTTTATGGTAATTCTTCACTATAAAATTCTCTCCGTGTAATTACTATTGTAAATTCATGATATATACGCGAAAACTTTTTCTTCTCCCTTCGCTGAAATAGGCTCGTCATGATTGTACCGTTACTAGTGGGAGTGATTTTCGATGACGCATATGCCAAGCAATCGGTCGTCCCACCTGTGAGGGATCCTTTCGGCACGCAGGACGATAATAACATTTACGGAAATGGTAAAATAACCAGTGTCGATGGAGCGATCGTAAAGAGATCGAGTTCGTTGAACAAGCGAGCTCCCGATGACGGATACGAAGAGCGTACAACAAATCTGAAAACCGTGCCCAACGAGTCCGAACGGAAGCAAACTCGGCTCTTAGCGCAGAAACTGGCGAACGAAGCTCTCAAGTCGCTGGAATTGCAACGCAGTATGAAGAAGCTGACCGATTTGAGCGAGTCTCGTAATCACTCCGTCACGATGAAGAACTCCCCAGTGAGACTCATAGGTCAGGCGAGAAATACGTTCGAGTTACCGCGGGTAAGTTCAAGAAGGTCGAATAAATCACCGAAACGTGCAGGAACACAGAAAAGAATGAGGAGTAAACGTAAACACGGACCGAGACGACACAAGGAGCATCGTCCCCCCAAGGTAGGTAAGACCATTCTATTACAAATCTACGGGACAATTACAAAAAATATTTCACGAGATAATTATAAATTTGGTAAAATATTTGCTAAGTGATATGAGAAAGCATCGTTTGGGGAAAAATGCTTCAAATATTTGAAAGATCCTCAAAAAAATCGTGATTTTAAAATATTTTTGTGATTAATATCCAATACTTGCTCAGAACGTCATTTTAAAATATTCCCAACCACACAGAAAGAACGATTGAAGGTAAACCCAGCCGCCGATCACGCTCGAGTGAGACAGCGAAGCACATCAAAAAAGCCGAGTTTGATGACGAGAAATAATATTGCTGAGCGAAATTCTATGGCCAGGAGCAACGTTCGCAGATTAACTAGAAACCGATTGACAAACTCGTCATATTCGCATCAACGGCACCGGAAAATCGACAATACGTCCGCACCAAAAAGAAACAGAACTGGAAGCTCAACGAGAGCAAGCACGAAGGGCTCTGAGAGGAAGCAATCTGGTGATCGGGAGGTCGAGTATCCTGATTACTACAGTGAGAACAACGATGAGCTGATAAAAGAGCAAAAAACGAGGCAAGATCAGACGGATGAGAGCGGTAACGAGAGGATTGTCAGACAAATCTCGAACGGGTCCGTCCTCGGCGACGTCCCACTTGCCGATCGCTCGCGCTTCAACTTGCGACAATTCACGAACGGAGACTCCCGCGACAAAGATCTAACCGACGACGTTGAATCGTTGAAATTCTGGGAGGGCGATGATCCTGCGACCGTTCGATCGAGCAACGACAACGTCATCGGTGATGTATCTACATACTTGCCGGTACTCATTGACCAGAAGATCAATCCTGGAAGTCTGTATTACTTTCCTGACGTCCCTCAGGAGGACCCAATGTTCGGTCAGCTTCAGGAAACCATTGACCAGTCCGAGAAGAACGTGCTCGGTAACAGAGCAGAGTCTTCTAGCGAGAATCCAAGCGATCTGTACGCGGATCTGACGCAGGTCCTCACTACCAGCGATAACAGCGTCTTCAATCCGCAATTTCAAATCGAGGGGCTTCCCGGCGATTATCAGAATCGCGCGAGTATACCTCACTTGTATATGAACCTGAGCGACAAACCTGGGATAGCCAAACCTGAAGAAGTGGAGGTGCTTTATCCCGTTGAACCTTATGTCAAGATCCCGACAAATGCACCGCACTTTTTCCGCAAGGTTCCGGGTGCTTTGAAAGTGTATGTCGCTAATGGAAGAAATGGTGGGCCTGTGATTGCGCCATCACCCGGATATGTTTATCCTGTTGCACCCACGAGACAAGCTATGCTCAAGGTCAACGAACACACCTCGGTAATTCCTCAATCGGCTCCCAATCGACCGATTGAACATATATTGTTTCCTGATCGAGAAAAGGGACAAAATCGACATGAGGGCGATATAGTTAGCGATTATAATGATCAGATAATGATTGGGAGAGATCATAAAGCAGAGAAAGAGGAAGTTGGAATTTTACATAAAAAATATAAAAATAAGATGAACGAAGGATCCGCGAGGGGCAAGGTAACGCACGACGATCGTTCGTCCGCGACTGTAACGAAGACGACTACGACAGAAAGAGCGGAGAGCCAACGAGCAAATGTCTCTGTTATGTTGAATGAAACCAAGGAAGTCGCCAACCAAATACTTGAGAAGATCATGGACGAGTTGGAAGAAATTAGATCGGATCGGCCAGAAAACGATCAAATAGAAGGTTGTTATTTAGAATTTTCGATTTTTAGCCCCTTCTGTCTCGCCCTCAATGAGCTTTACATTAAAATTTCGGAATTCGGTTAGAGGCTTAGATTAACGGAAAATCTTTTTTTAAATATCAGAGAAAATATTTAAAATATTAAAGATAATGTTAACAATTTTCAATATATACCTATAAATCTAAACACCTCTTTGCCGGAAAATGAATTCTTTCAAAGTTTGTTGAAAAAAAGTTAAACTTGAAAGAAAATTTCCTACTTCTTCGATAAATCTATTATATTGACTTCTTTTTCTCTTCATGTTTATGTACAGCATTAAAACACATATTTATAAAAACGTAACGTATTAGCGAAACATCGCTGTATCAGTCAATGAATTAAATTTTCATTCGGGACAGGTTTACCTTGCAAGATCTCAGGATCGTGGGTGACTACACAGGGTGGAGTGCGGATTGACATGAAGGTGACTAATCACACCATCAATGCGACGCTGGCGAAGTTGTCACCGCCGGCTGCGCATCAGGGTTTGCTGGATCCGAGCTGGAATCTCACCGGTCACGCGCCCTTCGCACCGGGTGCACCGTTCTCCTTGGTCGCCATCGACAATCGTACGAAATCGCTGGCGTTGTTTGCAGGTGCGACGCGTGGTCCTCTTAATAATAATTCCGTGCGTTCTCCTCGACGAGTACCTAATCGCGAGGAACTAATCGAAAGTTTTTAACAAAAAGGATCTACGACGATTATACGCAGGTGCGTGCAGAGTGTGTCAAGGTATCGACACGATAGCGGGTGTTTGGTCGATCGCCCACAGTCCGCAGGATTGCCGAGACTTTCAGATCGCTACAAATATCTACAATGACGTGTTTCGCCGAACCAAATTGTCGTCAGCGATAAACGCAAAGCATCAGGAGATCGTGCGATTGTTACGCAAGGGCAATCGCGATAACGCGACGACAACCGCGACTTTAATAGGCAGTACGGTAGTGCAACAAAATAATACGTTACAACAAAATAATACGTTACCGCAGAGCAAGGAAGAAAAAGGAAAGACTTAGATGTCTCGAGGCGAACTTGAGGAGTTGGTAGACAGACAATGATGATGATGATGATGATGATGACGAGGATGTTGATTGATAGACGGATCGGAAAATTTGGAAATGGACATCAACGCGTGGATTGCTAGAAACAAAAAGAAATGTCTTATATTGTACCAGTAATAATTTATATATATGTATGTGTAAACTTTAGAAAAAGCGCGAGCTCTTTTTCTCTCTCTCCATCTGTTTGTCTATTTTATGTAAGATGTAATTTATTTAACCGAAAGAGATGCGTACACTGTGTAGACGATTCTAAATAAATTTTCATCTGCCTATCCGAGAGATTTAAAGTTTGACTCTTCCGTTTATTGCGGAACACAGGGATGTTCTCACACATACACCACTTTGTTGTGATTTACTTTAAATTATTCGTCTTAATGTCCATTAAACACTGTTTAATAGCGTCGAAACCTAGCACGACAATCTGCAACAAGCTGAGATTTAGTAATCGATATTATTTGTTTAAAACGATTCATTTGTACTTTTATTACCTTCAGAATACCGATTTTTTTATGTTGATCATCCTTGATAGGGAGTGATATGTCTTTGCAGCCGTCACCAAGTGCATACTCTCTTACATTAAATGTCGCAAAGCTGAAACAAATTATTCGCAAAAAAAAAGAAAAGTAACGGTTACGAGGGTGAATTCACATGTATAAATTCATATAAACAAATTTTTTCGGCTTACCCGATATCCTCGCATTCTTTCGTTGTGATCTCTTCGGGTAACGGTTCACTGACAAGAACAAATTTAATGTTTGGACTTATATATTCGGTCAACATAGTACGTAAGGTATTCCTCTCGACAGTGTGTGTTCTCTCATCTATCCGGAATTCTAAAACCGAAATAATCTTCGATTGCAATTTTTTTAAATATATTGTTCTATATCATATCATCTGAGAATACATCTAAGAATCACGTATGTATGAAACAATCATATCTTATGTGGAGAGATTTACTTTTTCGAAAATTGAAAACCATCTCTTGATTAGCTGCTCGCGGTTTTTTCACGGAAAGGGTTTCCATATCTTTACCGTAATGTCCGAGGAAAGAATATTCCACGAAAATCAAACATATCTCATCATCCAGTACAATGGGATCGTCAAAGAACAGCACGCTCACTATTTCTATGATTATCGTATCCTTTTCAAGCTTCTGAAAAAAGGATGAATGTTAAATTAGTACGGCGTTAGATCTCGCTATATGTATGAAATATACAGGTATACTCGATATATGTATAAGATATATTTGAAAATTCAAAGATTCACTTTTCCAAATGGAATGATTTCGCGATTTTATTTTATAATTTTGATTAACTTTAATTTTCAAGGTAAAATGGCCCAACAAAAATACATTCTACGATATTTACATCCTTGCGCGAAGGGGCGCGATATTTATGCTGGCAATCTAACACTCTTCTTATGAAACTACTCAAACATAACTAATGGAGCAGTTCCACATGCGAGTGGAAGCGTTGCGTTGACAATCCTATACGTCCACGTTTAAGAATTAGCTGAAGCAAGTGTTCTTTGTTTTTGTTGGCGAATAGTTGAGTTACTTTCGTATAATTTTCATATTCTGCGTTGTCGGCGTGCGTGAGCGCGCGAACATAATTAATTGCTAATTGTACTGGCAAAATTCAGCAGAGTCCTCTGCTTGTATCTCTCCCAATCTTTGTCCGAGAGTACCTCGTACATGTCGCAGATCGCGCTGCTTGATTCCTTGAGCAGGCTTCCGGCCTGAATACGTCCGATACCTCGATCATTTCCAAATAGATATCGCACTCACTAATCACTAACGCGTCGAGTAGCGTGTGCTTTTCGCATAGTTGCTTAATTGTCGAACAAATCTTACGTCTGTGATGATGGCATTAAACTCCGTGTTCGATGATTCCGCCAATGCATGATCCTTTACTACTTCCTTTCTATCATCTATCGTTACTTCGGAATCTGATCTAATTAAAATCATTTATACAATTTTTATGATGATATAATGAGGATAGAAAGTGTCGGTCAATATCAGTTCGAATAAAAATGTAGCCACTTTCTAATTAGGTTAATGTTTCGCAAAAATTGCAAATTATACATTTGGATCTCCCAAATAAATTAAGAATAAACAAAAAAGAAAATACAATATGAAACTACAAAGAAGCCTCACCTCTTCTTCGTTTGGCATATCTCGTCTTCTTCGTCGAAAATCTCATTCGTATCATTAACGCGCATCGAAGAGGATTCTTCGTTATTGGAAGTGATGCAATTGTTCTCGTCCGAGTTCGTTGTTTCATACAAGAAATCTGTGAAGATTCATAATGATAAATGCTTCAGCATATTTTCCAGACTTTCAAAGCTCGGAAACATCTTAAGGCTTCTTAGGGTGAGAAAATATCTTCAGACACCTCAAGGCTCGGTAAAAATGCGAATTCTTATTTTTATAAAAATTTACTTGAGTCTGATGGTAGGCGAAAGTGTCGATCGTTCTTGGAAATTACGGATTTAACACCGCTATCCTTTTGATCCTTGAGCGTATCCACTTTTGATGGAAACTTTATGTGAGCAGTATCTCGCGACGCAGTATCCCGTAACGAAGTTATACCGCATTGCTCCTTAAAAACTTGGACCATCTCGACGTTGCAACTTAATCGTACCCACACCGACAGTTGGCCAAAGTTGACGCTGTAGCTGCAAGGAATGATGCTGTACACAGGCACGATGTAATGCAACTTGTTCTGGGGATAGTCTAGGATATCTTTCATGGAGACTCTCGCTCTGGCAATCGTGTATTTCGTGTCGTCACAACGAACGACGTTCACTCGAAAGACCAAATGCTCCAATAGCACGTTCTTGAAGAAGGAGAAGAGATCCGCGATGCGATATACGGAGGAAAAGTTGAAGTTCAGGTCTGGACATTTCATCGCCATCGTGTATGCCGTCTTCTCATCCCAAATGTCCCAGCTTATGTAAACGTAAAGATTACACAGGTCCTCTTCTCCCGACATTTTTGAGGCCTGATCAACAAGTACGACAAAATGATTGTTATTTTCGGTTGAACAAATCAATGATGGAAATCTTACAGAATCTAGAATCTGTTTTTCGAATTTAAATCCAGAATTTAAATTCAGAATTTGGATTCAGTATTTGTGAATTCCAAATTTGTAATTTAAAAAAAAAAATTATTCATAGCTTAACATGGTAATAAACACTAGTTTAAAGTGAATTTTAAGAAACGAATAAATAATTATATAAAATATTACTCATAAAAAGGTATTGCCAGATTGTTTCGCTTTAGTCACGATACCAACCAACGTGGAAAGCTGCAGTTGCGATACGTGAATTTCGATGAGACCTTGCTTATCGGTAATTAATAGAGGAAAGGATTCCGCTGAACCAACGTACAGTTGCATATCGTCGCCTAGACATTTGTTCTTGCAAATTGTCCGCTTCTCCCGTTTAGTTGGCGAATCGTTCTGTTTTCGCAAGTGGCACATCAGATCGCATTTAGGTAATAACGAAGTCTTCACATTCTCAGTCTGATAAACGAAAGTTTTCGTTGTTATCGCTACGCTAAAATCCTACGCGTCACTGATCAGACAAATTGCACTTGCTTACACGGCTGTCATTATTAATATCGTAGCACGATACTTTCTTCGGTTTCTCATAAATTGCAAGACAACAAGTAGTCTTATCCTGTGTCTCTTTCGTGAGTGAACCAACGTATTTCGTTGAGACAGTTACAGATTCTTCCGGGACATAACCCAGGAAGCAATCGGATCCTAAACTTGCAGGACAGTTCTTGACGTTAATGCAATTACTGCTAAGCTTTGCGCTTTTGTGGATATTTTTGTTGATATCTGCGACAAAGTCTCCATCGTGGCAAGCTGTTGTTTGCTGATATTTACAGGGATAAGTCTTTTTGTCTGTGCTGAGATCATGATTATCATTCTTTGTAGCGAGATTGTTGTTGACGTCGGTCAGTGTATCCTCCATCGTAAGAACTTGATGTTTCGAAGATGTTCTTTCGTCAGCGTTAAGCGACAGATAGTCGTGCAAAACATCCAATAGCATCAGTAGGATCTGATTCGATGCCATATTCTCCAAAATTGCGAGTTTTTCCCTCTGTGAATTTTTCTGCACGGGACACGATTCATCGCAAAGCATCTGAGAAGATATTTCTCCGTCGCTGTAATAGACAGTCATGATGATATCAAACGCAACGATTTCATCTTTTACATAATAATTGAAGCACGCTGTTAAATTGTTAAATGCAATTCTAAACGCTATGTCGCAGTATGTATTGTACGAACCTATTATAAAATCACATATATTTATTTAAATAAATATATCAAATGAAAACCTATTAAAATACGAAGAAACCTCTTTATATCCTGTAATGTTCCTGACAATTTGACGTGACTTTAATCAGGAACACCATAATCATTTTTAATAATTTCAAAGAACACTTAAGGTCTTTGATAGTATGTAAAATATGGTACTAATATATATACAATACGTATATACGCATATAGGCATACATATACACGCACTTATTTGTGTTTGTGTGTATTAACACAATGTACAAAACTTAACCAATATTTCTGTTATACGTTCGTATACATATGTATAAATATACAAAATATATATTTGCTATTTAATATTTACATTATTCGCCATATCAGAAATTCTTATTCTACAATTTTTTAATTTTACCTAGAAATTAGGATATTATTATACGTACCTACAGAGTTCAAGCATTTTTTTAATCACTCTTTCAACTTATGAAATATTGAATCTCTTAACCTTAATGTTGTAGTCTCTCATATTCGACATGAATTTAAGAAAATTTAACTTCCTTCGTAAAAACAAATAAATAAAAAGCTAACAATTCTAAACAACAGGCCATGTATTAACAATTAGAATCACCGAACAATAGTTTCTCAAGAGGTACAACTTGCCTGTGCCTCTGAGTCTGCGCTACATCCAAAATGTCCGTATACTCTTCCTTCGGAGCAATTCTCGACACGTCCAACGGCGTGTTAATCTGCGCCTGATCCAGCAGCTTTAATATCTTTTCTCGTGATAAACTGTTCCTCTCGTGATTCATCTTCCGTTCCTTCAACGGCGACTGTGGCTGCAAATTTTTCTTCTCTTCACTCTCCGGAATCGTCATTACACTCTGTTCCTTTGTGCTGATAGGCGTGGTTATTGTCTGTACCGACCTAACTGACGACTGATTTAATGACTGCCAACTTTTCCGAGCATTGTCCACAGCTTTCTCTAGCTGCGTGACTTTGTCATACATCTCGCAACATTTCTTACATTTTTCTATGGAAGCGGAACAGACTTGCTTAGACGGATCATCTTCTCTCTTGCTCGCTGTGCTCATAGGCGTCTCCGATGATGTCGCCATTGCAGCGTCGCGCTTTTCATTTTGCTTATGAAGAGACTGAAAATAATCGCAAAATTGAAAATCACTTGAATATAATGTAATCATTCAGACACATACGAATTTACTAACCGTTAATTGCACCGTTAAGGTGTCTATAGTTGCTTGCAAGTCTTGAAGTTTCGTGAGCAATTGCTCATTGGTAGCTTGTAACGCCATGATGTTGACTTGATCATTATTAAACGCAGTCCTCAACGTCTGTTGTTCGTGAACGTGTTCAGAGAGCTTCTTCTTTAGTTCGATATTCTCCATCTCGACTTGACCGTATTTTGAACTGAGGGCGATAAGCTCGTTATTATGTTGTTGCAATATCTTAATTTCATTCATTAGATCCCGTATTTGCTCCTCCTTCTCACGCAATGCAAGTTGCGAATTCTGCGCCTTCAACATTTGATCGTCCATCTCAGCTATGCGCGTCCTCTCCGACGTGAGAACAGCCGCGATCTCTTGATTATTCCTAATTTCGTGGTAACAACTTTCCGATTAAAAACGATCCATTCTCAATATTTTATTGTAATATTTATAATACTTATAATACGTTTTTTATATACTCTTATATATATGTCTGTTATAATACTTATAATACATATTTCGTTTCTTTATTAAGAAGCATACATACATACATGACATATATAATATATTACAATTGGCAGAAAAAGGATGTGACTTTTATTCCGTATAATAAATAATTTATCAGATCTATGAATATATCATACGTACTAAGAGATAATCATACGTACTAAGAGAGAAGAAAGAGAGATAATAGTTATATACCTTGCTGTTTGCTCGATGGTCGTTTTCAAGTCATTAATTTCGGTGGTGAGCGTTACGTTCTTGTCTTGCGCCGTTATTAGCTTTTCATTTAGCTGCTTCATCTGTCGCCACACTCGTATGTACTCGACATTCTCCGCCACCTTCTCTCTTTGACTACTGGCCGAATATAGAGCCAGCTCCTTCTCTAAGTCTGTTATACGACACGCCATATCTTTCTTCTGCGCCTCCAGTTTCTGCGAACAAAAGTTAGACGCTAAACGGAAATTATTGCGCATTACATTAGTAACGTCATGAACGTGATCAAGTTGTCAACAACGTTTTCAACCCTTGCTATTTCAAGCTACCTATTACTTCCATAAACTCATTTCGCACCGCACTAGTAAAGGATAACATTGATCGCTAAGCTAAATCGGACGAATGGGATAATTTGCGAAATTGAGTGTGCGCAAACACTTCGAAGGGATATCGTCTTACCTCGATCTTAACGATATAATTCCGTACATCGTTGTCATCGTGCCCTGTATCAACAATGCACTGACAAGATGGTACTCTCGAACGGTTCTCACTTCGGCACGTCCTAAAAGAAGCTGCTTGTCTCATCTTGTACCACGACATGAGTCACGATGTGAGATTGTATGTTATGTATGTACACCATAATACATGTCTACTTACACAAGCCCAGAGGATGTTGGTCGGATGAGATTACGACTGCGTGATGACGATCTACCGCTCATTGTGTGACTCAACAATTGGTTTCTCATCACCGTGATTTTTTCCTTCAGCTAAAACAAAGCACATTTCTTTTAATAATTTATTCTGCAAAAGAAATCACTAATATTTTACGTTCTAGATGGTACAAATGTCTAAAAGACATTTGAAATATCGAGAAAAAATTGGTTGAATTAACAACCAAATATTTTTATACTTATAGGACGTCATTTAGACTTTTGTATTGTTTGGGACAGATAACAGAATCTGTAATATTTGAGTTTGCAAAGAAGGTCGATTTCGAGTTCAAGTTATCGATCATACATTATCATTAATCTTTTATACATGAACTTTACTACGAATACTATTGAGAAAATCAATGTGATTATTCCGTCGCCTGACAGAATCCCGTTATCGTCAAGAAAGAAGAAATCGCCGTTATTTCGAAATAACTTACCTTAGTGTTCTCAAGCTCGAGCGCGGACATCCTGTTCTTATCGTCGCCGACGATATCTAACGATATACCATATGATCTTGGATTACCGGCCAGTCTAATTAGCTTCGTACCGAGCCTTTTAATTTTGTCCTCCTGGCAGTTGCTCAATTTTTTCAGATTACTCGCCTCGTCGAGCAAACGCAGATACTTATCCTCCAACTGGTAACGATCGAGCTTGCAAACAAGATGACGTTCCCTGGGATCTTTTAAATATAAAATATATTACTTGTACATCATACATATATTTAGTCAGAACAGAATAAAAATAAAATTTATCTAGTAACTCAAACAGAGCAGAAATGTCTTAAATATGTCTTTCTAAAAGTCTCTAAGACGTTCATACTGTCTGGGTAATATCATTTATTCACTTTGATTCACTTGATGTCCTCAAAATTAGAATTCCACCAAAATACAAACCTATAGCACTTATCAGTGTGTCCGCACAAGAGCCTTCTTTTACAGGCAAAATATCACGATCTGGATCGTCTGCCATTTTTGGTTAAAATTCAGATTCCGGTTTCCGTTAGAACCAGCGAGTGTCGTGAGACGTTGACTAACGCACGCTGAAAATTCAACGAACAACATGGGCTCTTAGCACTCTTATCTCACTGTCTGTTCGTGAGATATGTAAATAAGCAAATCGTCAAAACAGGCAAAATGGGGTTATAATTTGAAGATAGAGAAAAATAGCGCGAGAGTAAAGCATATCTGCCACTTCACAGTTTCTGTTGTGTGTTTACGATACATATCTTAAGTTTTATTCTTACCAAAACAATGACTGTTTTACCGAACGTCACATAATGTGTCTATTTACAAGAATAATTACTCACTACACAAAAATATTAAACATATTTTAACGGTTTCAGTCCTATATTAGTTGTCCGCGAATGAAAGAATTCGAGCGATCGAACTTGCCTCGACTTTACGCTAGCTTCAGAGTGCTTCAGAAGCGCTAGCTTCATCGTCAAAAGCAACTCGATTCGTCTTGGCGATAAGGTTAAAAATAAGTTTATACCATGAAACGTATAACAGCCCAGACAACATAAGATGCTCCAAAATCATCCTAGACACATCCAGGATATCTTGGGATATGTCTCGAGTACATCTGGAATATCAGGATGTGTTGTACTAATTAGAAATTTATCGACATATATAATACCGCAAATAAACCATACATATTATTTACGCCTCGCATATATTGAGCGTAACAAAAATGAGGACAGCAATTTTATGTGCCTCCCGCGAAAAAGTTTCAAAATAAATATACTATGTGGCACTTGTAATTGGCGCGCAATTCGCAAAATATCGATAGGAAGCAGTAATAATTAAATCGGACTTATCGTCAACGTCATAGATTGGTGCGGAAAATAACGAATATAGTTTCAAAAACTATGCAGTGTATCAAGGCATGAACGACAATGACAATGTTTATCAGTGGTTATCGTTTTCGCTATAAATTCGAGATAAGCGTGATTTTAGCTACCGTTTACCGTTTATTCGTTAAGAGCGAGAAATTTTTCGAGAACGAACAACGTGATTCACTGTCGATCGCCATTCTACATGAATCATCGCCGTGAACTCTCTAAGAATCATAGAAAAATACTGGCGCAATATAAACAGGAAAGAGAACGCATGTTCTTTACCGAAAAATGTTGATTGACGCGTGAAGTTTCTGAAGAAGAGTGATAATATAAAACTAATCAATGTTAATTAGGCAGTATTAACTAGACCAGACGATTTTCAACGTTACAAGAGGAATCAGCCACAGTCTGCCATGAACATCGCGCGCATCTCGAAGATGACTCAAGATTCGATAATCGAAATATACTTAAAGTATATTTACGAACGCTTTTACATCAGTACGGAGCGACACACATTGGAATATTTCTCTGTCGTCGATAAAAAAAAGAAAAAGATGAAGATTGAATTTCCATTATGTACGTAATGAAAATTGAATTTCCATCAGAATCCCCATTGAATCCCCACAATGGAAATTCGTAATTTAATTCTTCTTAATAACAGACACGATTTATTGTCTTTTTTCCATACGACTTTCTATAAATCCCTTTTGTTAGTAAAATTTATCGAAAATTTGACTGGACACTCTTGTGTTTCTCTGCGGTTCGTCCAATCGTATCGACCGTCAATATCGATTGCGGTCGACGTTATTATCGTACCTTCGTTGCGAGAGTATCGTTCTCACGATGCAAGTCGCATAGTGACTCGAATGTTTGAGGAAAGTGGCGCGGCCGCGAAAAAGAAATCCGACGGGTGGAAACTGTTGCGGTGTTCGCGCGAGGGGAAAAGAATACCACAGGGAGGCGGAGAGATAGAGAGAGAGAGAACGGGCGAGAGAAACGCGTCGTAGCAGGTCAATCGGGTTGCATCGCGTCACCAGGTATACGGAGCACCGCTGCGAGCGGCACCACGAGACGAGGCACGGAGCCACGGCTTCGGAGATCCAGCACAACCTGACCCGCACGACCACCGCACGTATACCGGACCCTCGCTTTTGACATCGGCGGCGACGGTGACGGCGACGGCGACGGTGGTGGTGGTGGTAGTGGTGGTGGTGGTGGCAGTGGCGGCGGCGGAGTGTGCGTGCCAGTGGGAAAGGTAAGATGGCGGCGGACGGAGATGCGGTGATTCCGGATCAGGAAAAAGTGCGAATAGTCTCGGATTTTATACTGCACTCACCGCCGGGCGAGTTCAATGAGGTGTTCAACGACGTAAGGGTCCTGCTGAACAACGACAACCTGTTGAAGGAGGGCGCGTCCGGTGCGTTCGCACAGTACAACAAGGACCAGCTCACGCCTGTTAAGGTACATCGTCGTCGTCGTCATCGCACGCGATTGTCGCACGCGGTGTTTTCTCTCGGGTCGAACGCGCGTGATTCCTCGGAAAACGGCGTCCGCGCCTTCGTATGTGCGGCTCGCGTACACTCGGAACTTCGCTCACTTTCTTTAAATGTATCGATTGTGAGGTCCGCGAGGCGCGACCACGGTGACCTTATACACACTCGCTCTCTGCCTGCTCGCCTGCCTTCTTATCAGGCTCACCGGAATTCGCCTGGATAAAGTTGACTCGTCGATCAGAGATCGCTAAACGAGGACATCCCACCCCACCGTCGTCGTTCTCGCGTCGCCGGCGCCGAGTATCCGTTACCTCGTGCCAGGTTATAGAAATTCGTCTCGCCAAGCTAGCAGGAACGTCGCACAAGTGACTGGTTACTTTATTTCCCAATGCGTTACTAAAGTCTACCCTTTTTTTTATTTTCAATAGTTTCTCCTGGATATAATGTATTTTGGAAACTAGCACAACTCAACTAAGGTTAGGGCATTGCTCTGTCTGGGGATAACGTCACAGTGCCTTTTATATTCTCTGTGAATATCTCACAATATTGAAGATGTTGAAGTTGTAACCCTGGTAATCTACCCAAATTCTCTTTCAAAATATAAATCAAAATATAAATATGTGCAAAATTTATATATATTGGTGCAATAATTATGATGTAGATAAGCTCATTACTTCCGTATAAAAATTCTTCCAGGAAGATATTAGCTATATTTTGATAAAAGATTCTATCGAGAAACTGAAAACTAATGTTTTATTTTATTTATAATAATGCTAATTGAAATAGAATAATTAGAAAATATTTAGTGGCTTCTCACAAGTTTTTTATAATATTTATTTATTTAATTTATACAGTGAGATTTACAAACTGTATAAAGTTCTAAAATTGTCTTTTTCTCTGTATACAGATAGAGGGAAGCGATCACACAGCACTCATAACAGAACACAATGATCTGGGTTCTCAAAGGTTTTATGATGCGCGGAGTAAGCAAAGTTTTAAATATGATCATTTGAGGAAGGAAGCGCAAGATTATGAGCCTTACGAACCAGATCCTGTAGCGGAAGCTTGGAGGTCAGCCCTTCAAGAAGAAATAACAAATTATACTCAAAGTCACTACAGACATGGCGCCTGCTCAGTTTTCGGCAAATCGCTCGGAGGTAATTATGTTGCCCAGATTAACCGTAATTAATGAAAGAAATATGAAGTATGCAAAATCGGAGAATACCGAGTAACGTGAATTTCTGTATAGGAAACATAACGCTGACAGCGTGCATAGAAGATCATCAATTTCAACCTAAAAACTTTTGGAACGGCCGCTGGCGTTCAGTATGGACCGTAAGTTTTACTCCGAATTCGGGAAACGCCGAATTAAGAGGTAGCCTCAAAGTACAAGTACACTATTACGAGGACGGGAATGTACAGTTGGTCAGTAGCAAGGAAGTGAAGGAAAGTCTGCCGATCTCCAACGAGAAGCAAACAGCGAAGGATTTGATACGGTTTGTCGAGGATTCTGAGAACGATTATCAAACGGCAATCTCGGAAAACTATCAAACGATGTCCGACACCACCTTTAAGGCGCTGCGAAGGCAACTGCCAGTAATGCGAACAAAAATTGACTGGAACAAAATTGTTTCGTACAGTATTGGCAAAGAGCTTAAAAGTCAATAGAAATAGATTTTTTTATATAATAATATTAAAAGAAATATAATTAAAAGGAAAGCGCGCATTTTGCTGCATGAGTGAAGTCTGGAGGTGTGATGTGCATGGGAGCAAAATGTAACATTACTGAATAATATCTAATTAGAGACACTCGACTCATGCATGCCACTCAAGGTTCCTCTCGACTCTATATTGTATGTTGTTACAAGCAATAAAAAAAAAAAGACGGTTGAAGGAGGCCAACACTTTCGACGTTGTCAATTGTATCAAAAAGTTTGTTACATTCGGATCCAGATATTATAATTTCTTTGACTAATTCTATTTAAATTTTTTCGGTGATAACAACGAACGGTTTGGAAAAAAAAATCATATTGTTTTCATTGAGCATCTTGATTATAAAAAAAATGTGGAAAGTAATCGACGATGGAACCTTCGTGTAAATCGTGTTGATTTTTCGTTTTGTTAACTCGATCGAATCATCTCTCTCGAAACGATATCCATGATATTCGCATTGTGCAGCATAGTGCAAGATATAATCTTTAACTTCGGATGGATATGAAAGCGATACAAATAACTGTCGAAGTAAAAGATCTATTCACTATTTATAATGGGGTAATGGGGATCCTTGCTCTTATGTTAAGTGATTGAATTGAAGTTGAATTAAATGTGTTGAATAGCTTGAGATTGTGAGACACACACAAATAGCGAAAATAAATTTGAACTATAATCATGTAGAGTTGTGAGAAGCGATGAGAGCAGATGGAGGCAGTTTTTCAATTAACGCAAACAAAGTCTTGTAGATTCCTATAAAACTTTATCAGGAAGATAATGACATCAGTGATAGTCGATGATTGTTTACTAATGTTTTCACTTGTATAACGTATATTTTTTTCCCAAAAGAATGTATCATAATCGAGAGACAAATTAGCGCAAAGAATGTCAATCACTGAAGTTATTGTTTGATTGATAATTTCAATATAACTACATCGATCTGCTCTAGCACAATTTATCTGTCACTTGATAGTTCACCCTGACTCGAAGCAAAAAATTATTTGAACCTTTATGTAATTATGTTCGCGATCCATCTTTCAATCAAGCACTCGAAACTTATAATACATACAGTTTTACTTTACAAGCGCGAATGTGGAACGAGAGCCTGTAACGCAAAAATATTATACGACAAAAAGTTTTCTTACGGATATGCCGATGCGATAATAAAATAGCAAAATTAAGAGTTTACACCAAGTATAAAAAAAATCTTTTTAGACTGATTCGTCTTGAAAGAAAAGATAAATCATCGTAATGATTAAGCCTTAAAGCACTTAAAGCGGCGCGCGAATGATCACATGTAGCGTGTTTAAAATTTCGAATGATGATATATACTCTTTACCATTGCGTTACTTGATACAACATGCTGGGGCCACGGGTGATGTCAAATGCATAATATATCAAATGTAATACAAGGACATTAGACGTGTCTATGATTTACCAGTCCGGTAATGGGCACCTTTTACGTGTTCATACCGTTCTTAATACACAAAGTATGAAGACAAAAAGAGAGAGAGAGAGACAGAGAGAAAGAGAAAGAAAAAACATAATTCTTAACACAGATATCGGTGGGCGAGGCCTACTATTTTTATCCGACTTTATATTTCATAAAAGTGTAAGTCTCTATATACATTTTTGTTAAAATGTATTGTTTTATAATAAGTATGTCTATTATATATATATATATATATAATGAATACGTTGCAAAGTTTAATGATACTGAAAATGAAATAAATGTTAATCATTGCAACTTGGTTTCTAAATTGAAATACATTATAGAGTAATAGCCGTACGCGCGACGATCACATCTCTTGTGTCAAGCAGAAGCGTTGGGAAGTATCTCTTGGTGCTATCGCTTACTACACACATTACACAGCCAGACGTGTACGCGAGAAAAAAAGGGAAAAACTAACAAAGTACATTGATACATTGTACATTGTAGAATGTAGCCTATAGCCTGCTGGAGCCTTAATCTGTTCACTTTACGTTGGGGAAACGGGGGCGGGTCGGGAGACCGGGATAGGGGAATACTATGTACATATGTTATTTGGATGAATGAATGCGATGATGCGCACCACCATTTGATTCTTAATGCAATAGGATTCGAAACATATGTAATATTATTCATACTTTGTAAGTTACATCGTAATTCAAGGCGTCATTTCTTCAGCCACAATATAAGATAATTTCTCAGAGAAGATAGGAGAAAAAAAAGAGAGAAAAAATGCAAGTTCTTGCCATCGATGGTTGTGGATGGTTGAACAAAAGCACGCATGGATAAAAAACATAAATAAATTGTTTGTTAGCATATGTGAGGTGCAATAGCAAAGTTATTCATGTAAATACAATCGCACATACATTATACTCAAGTCGTTGTTTGTATTACGTATGTAAATTACAAAATGGAGCGTTGAAGTTTCGAATCTTGTCAAAACTCCACACACAACATAGTTGCCTACGATATTGAAACTAGGTATTACCTACAATCGAGTATATCGTAACATAACAAACGCATGTCCTTATGTAAAAATTTAAACACAGAATACATTTATCAGTTAAATTATGTATTATTGAATGTTATAATTGATTAAATAAAGTGATATGACACTTTATACTTGTGCTCTCAAGTTTAAGAATAATTCTTTTCTGGCAATATATTGTAGTTTACATGTATATTAACTTATACCAAGCAAACAATCGAAATGTCTACCATAGAGGAAAATTTGTATCTTCTTTTATATATAAATAATGTTTGTTGTGAAATGACAGTATATTAGCTATTTTTGTTTTTAAGGAAAAATTTAAATCTTGGTTTTGTTAGTAGCAGAGATCTATATGTTACTATAACTGTTCTCTCTATTCTAATTTTTAGATTGTCTACAATGAGCGACAAGTGTGATCACAAATAGGTATCTTTTGATCTTATAAATTGTTACTACTGATATCACACAGTGGCTGGAGGCTACTATCAAATCCAACAAACTTATATACATTAAAATATATATTCATGTTGTATGCTTCAAGAGTATTATAACTATATTATATCACAGAGATAATTATATAACAATTTATGATCAACGCGGCATTTATCACGATAATGTCATTTGTCTAAACAATGACAAGAGATGTATCGTAGTAATTATTATTATTGTGCGTGTTTTACCTATTTTGATCTACGTAAACAAATGCATACCAGTGCATATATGCACTGACGCAAATCTATTCTGATTAAAAGTATTGTGAAAAAACAGATACGTACCTCAATTGGATTGTGCTTAAGCTGTTATTATATGTAATGAGAAATGCGAAAAATAAACGTTCAAACACGTGATCACACGACACAGAAGAATGAAGCTGTGAGTAAGATTTGATGTTCGTGAATAGCCATCTATGTTTATACACCGGCCGTTGCTAAATGGCAACCACAGACGCTGACACCGACGCGAAACATGTGATTCGCGAGGTCCGTTCTTTTTATTCACACTTTACCACTGAAATATATACTAACTGGAACGAGCGTTGGCATAGGGCCAGAGCACAGACTTCTGTATAACGCATAATACACAACGCATAAGAGAATTAACCAATCAGAGTTCTTCATTTCTATCCTGAGGAGGGAAATGAAGAAAACTAATTGGTTTATTCTCTTATGCGTTATGTATTATGCGTTATGCAAAAGCCTGTGCTCTTGCTCTTATCCTTGTCTGACCTACAGTGTCATCAAGAATCTATGATTGGAGTATTCTTTTAGATCTTTAGCAAATCCAAGGGAATGAACCAATCAGAAACGATAATCCCTAAGCGCTTAGTAAGCAGCTTTTTCTGCTGAACGCAGCCAGTGCTATTTTAAAGACCCAGTAACGCTCTCTCTCTCTTGGTCTGTTCTTTGTAGCTGCACTGCTGAACTGATGCAATAAACTAAAATATTTTGGCGAGTAACTATGTGTGTCGTAAACTCATTAAAATAATATAAGGTAAAATTTCATGAATTTAATGTCAATTATAAAGATTCATAAGCATATTACAATACCTATGTAAATAGAGCGCCAACACACGCGATGAGTATTGTTGCAGGCGATGATAGTACCATCTGTTGTGCATGAGCATAATTTCCTTGTTGATTGCTTGTCTGCAATTGCAACCACCCTGCATCACTTGCATTCACCTCCGCCATCTCCGTGAATGACTTCGACGACAACGAGCAGGATATTTCGCTGTGCCGTGTTTACCTGTCGCCTCTCGCAGGAACTCGAGCGAGATACTCCCGCAAGAAATGGCTTATAACTTTCCAGGTGTACCAGCGACCGCTATGCCGCCCATGGGTGAGTGTCATCGATTCATCTTTAATCGTCGTTATTTCGATATTTACTCTCCCGTAGATTACACTTAAACGTTTCGTTTTGCAATGCGAGATTTTAAGGATATATGATTCGCAGGCATGGGACCGATAGGTCCACTGGGTATACCAGGACCTCAAGGCTTTATGGAACTTGCGGGTCAAGGATTTCCACCGTTGCCACCACCTATACCACTGCCCGGGATGAACGATTCTCCTCTAGAGTTCAGTACGAACAAGAATCAGCCTCCAGTAGTGCGGGAAACCTCGGATGACAATAATGACAGGAGAAACGATAAGAATGACAATAGAAGAGATCGAGAAAATAGAGATAACCGGGAGACACGAGATACTAATAGGAGGTATTTAACTTTGTCATCTGAAGTATATTAAATAAATGTTGAATTAAGTACATATGAAAGAAGAATACATTATATTGTTTGTAGAATATTAAAAGAATTGCATAAAATATGTATTTTTTATAAAATATAGAAATAAACAGTCCACTATGAGCCCAATTGTGAGTTACACTAATACTTATGAATTTAATTAAAGCCTTGTATATGTCTTATAAAAGGTCAAGAAGCGAGCGCAGTGACAGACGCGACAGAGATCGGGAGCGGAGGGAAGAGAGAAATGAACGCGACAGGAGGGACGATCGGAGAATTGAAGATAGAAACAATGGAAATTCCGTGAAAAATAATAACGCTCATTCGAATAATTCGAACAACAACGAAATTCTATCGTCGACAAACACAAATAACACGCCAAATATAGGTACGCAAATAGAACCTACCACCAGTGTCTGGGGTATGGGAGTGGGTTATCCCATGATGGGCATGGGTCCCATGGGACCAATGGCACCTATGATGGGTGAAATGGCACTGGGTCCTCACATGAGTCATACTCACGGTTACAATCCAATGGGTATGGGCATGATGTCACATGATGGAAGTATGATAGGTGCACAGATATTGGGTGCTGAGCAAATCATGTCAGATGCAGCACAAATAATGACAGCAACTTTACCACCGCCACCTACGACACCTCAAGGTACCAAAGAAATTATACATTGTAAGAGCTGTACATTGTTCCCACCAAATCCGAATGCTCCACCACCCACTACACGAGAGAGGCCACCAGGGTGTAGAACAATTTTCGTCGGAGGTACATATATTTGCAACATAAAAATATTTGTATAAATTTAATAATAATAAGGTCAAAAGTAAATTATATTTACATATGTATATATATATATATACATACATACACATACATGTATATTTATGTTTGACACATACAGTATAATCATGTATACTGTTCACATAGGATTACCTGAAAATATCACTGAAGCTATAATACAGGAGATATTCGAACGATGCGGGGAGATTACTACTTTACGTCTCTCCAAGAAAAATTTCTGTCACATACGCTTCGTCCTGGAAGCCAGCGTCGACGCAGCTATTTATTTATCTGGCTACAGAGTGAGAATAGGATCTAGTGGTGATTCTGTAAATACCGGCAGATTGCATGTAGACTTTGCTCAGGTTTGTTATCCGACTGAGATTATTCAATTGTCTAAAATTACGCTACAATCGTAACTATAATTATAGTCATTAACATATAAGCATGTTTTATATTTATATGTAGGCTAGAGATGATCAGTACGAGTGGGAATGCAGGCAACGGCAGCTGCAAAGAGAACAACGTCATAGAGAAAGGGTAGAAAAGGAAAGGCAACGGCCACCGTCGAGTCCACCTCCGGTGGTGCACTACACGGATCATGAGGCATCAAATATCTGCGAAAAAATTAAGCAGGATGATACCTTTATGAAAGCGGTTCAAGTGAGTAATCATTATAGCAAACAATCCTTTGAAATTCTGAGAAAATGTTAAATTATTCACACTAGCCTATGTCAAACAAGTTTCCCCTTGTGCTACTTTATAATTAAGAGATAATATTTGCAGGTGGTCGTAACGTGGTTAGAGCGAGGAGATTGCACGAAACGTAACGCCAATATCTTCTATTCGATGATACAGTCGACGAACTCTCACGTGCGACGATTGCTGACGGAGAAAGCCGCTTACGAGGAGGAGCTACAGAAAGCCAAGGAACTGATGAAGGGACGAATGCAGGGACTCCTCATACAATGTACGTCCACACATTTTTCTCACTTATTCTATCTCTGATAGCTCCATACATATCGTACATATTTCGTGTGCGCGAAGAAAATTCGCACACGTATCGCATTGGCTGTGGTAAGTTCACCTTGGCATAGACTCAACAAATCGGGGAAATCGTCTCTCCTCCTTATTTGGATAGAACGAACGCAACTGAAAATCGTGATTATCTCGATCGTGATTATGTTAACGTGACACGGCGATGTCGCTACGTTCCTCATTGTATGAGGACGAATCTTCGTGTCACCGGTTGTGTTCCGATAAAAAGCAGAGATTTTGTTCTTATACCAGTTCACGAAGGTACGTTACATTGTCACGTGATAATAACGAAGAGTAATGATTCATGACGTAAAGGTATGACGACCTATATCATAAGGTATAAAAATCAAGTCGAACTTTAAGAGCTTGTCGATCTCGACGTATGATATTCCGATAATTAATACGGCTTTGGCATATCCGATGATACGCTTGACGTGAACAAACGAGAAGTCGAAACATTGAAGTCCAGCCTGATAAAGCAACGAAGTACCTCTCTGTCTCGTCACTAATTTTCACAATCTCTCAAGTGTATCATAGCGAGTTCGTCATATGAATTCTGTTTGTGGTCAATGCACGATTGGAAGCGGCTCGGTAAGAAGGCAATCAGTGATAGTAGGCGAGGATAAGGTGGGTGAAGAATCCTGTCTCTCGGACCCAACAAAGTCAATGAACGAAGGCGGTTTATCGAGCGAAATCTGTCTTATAGAGCCATAGTGTACTTGAAAACTGCATGCTTGGCAATGCTAAGGATTAAGGGTGATGGGTTGGACATCCGTTGTTAAGCTATCATTTTGAACGACCGATTTTCAGATCGCAGACTTTGCAAACGATTCTCTCCGACTATTTATTTGCGGATTTCTTTATCTCGTGTCTTGCGCGACGAGCGCTAAGCAAAACGAAAAAATGGGAATGACGAAGTCAAGACTATGCCGTTCAAGGTGGTCCTTAGCGTCGGAAGTCTGTGGTGTATTGCAAGTCCTCGGGGATTACTTTTTCGCAGTATGGTGAAAAGGCGAACGATGAGAGCGGAATGTTTGGTGAAAAGCAAGTTTACGTTAGTTTAGATGCGGCTACGATGCACTCGGCACGATCTACATGAGAGAGAGACTCGTGAGACTATTCGTAGCTGTACAGACCCGGTACACACGAAACACACGGCCCGGATTAATAGAGGCAGGCAGTACGTGAGAGATTAGCGAGAAGGATCTCGAGTGTGTTGATGGGGAACGGGGAGTGGTCAGTCACGATATTATAAAAGCTTTAAAGGAGAAAAGAAATTACGATACGTGTGATGCGAGTATGACGAGTAAAGTGTATGAAAAGAAAAGAACATAAAGACGAAACTATGAGCGTAGAGTTTCAATTCAAGTAAAGGTATACAACGGAGGATTTGTTGTGTTTTTGTATGCAACATGCGCCCATGTCATCAACAGTCAGTCAGATCGAACGAGTCTTTACTGCGGCCAGCCACAAGAAAGTCTGGGATCACTTCACTAAGGCACAGCGGAAGAACATCGAGATGTGGAAGAAGCAATCTTCGGTATGTATGTATACAGCACTCCCACATGCTGGTAGCGTGTCTCCTCTCTCTTTCTCTCTTTCTCTCCCCCCCCTCTCTCTCCCCCCCTCTCTCTCTCTTTCTCTCTCTCTCTCTCTCTCTACTTCTTTTTATTCTATCTCATAGTTTAATGCAGTACAATCTCTCAGTATAATCTTAGAAGTTTTGTCTTGAAGTCGCAACTTGCTCGTCCACGCATACTGTTTTGCACGATACCACCAACAAACATGCTCTTTCTCCCTCTCATTCTCTTTCTCCTCTCTCTCTCTTTCTCCTCTCTCTCTCTCTCTCTCTCTCTCTCTCTCTCTCTCTCTCTCTCGTGTTTTGCGAATAGTATTACTAAGGTGTCACCAGGTAAGTGAGCAAATGGAGGAGAAGGAGCCGATTCGCCTGCGAAACGAAAAAGAAAATACGGTCAGACACACGCCTTTCGTGCGTAAACGAATTCGATTTTACCTTTCTTTACCGTCACGGTATAGCAGATGTAATGTCCTGTTCGGCAACATGCACAACATTAAGAACAACATACGGAACAGAAGGTAAATGCGAGAGTAGTGGCGGTTTCGGGCGACCGAAAAGCGACCATGGACTACTACTATCCAGCATGGATTCGCAAAATGAGACATACGTCTCATTTTCCGGAGAAACGGCGTTACTCGATGAATATGGATATATATATTTATACGATACTCATTATTTCTGTACTTCAGAGCCGCATCCGCCGCACTCTTGCTCATGCTCAGGTAAGCCCAAAACGCTGCGAAGAGATTTAAGGGGGCGCGAATTTCCCGGGGGAAAACGCTTTCGCTTTCCGAAAACTACCGTGACGATAAATCCGACGCGGTGTACATCTCGCGTCTCGCCTCAACTCTGAACTACAGAAATTTACACGTTTTGTTTCACGTGTGTAGAAAAAGAGAGAAAGCAAAGATAACATGTTGTACAATTCGTCACGACAGAGCGAGCCTGAAACAACACATTGAGGACTATGTACCCGAGAGTAATCGTTGTTCGAGCAAAAGACGAAACTACGTACTCTCTGCATGCATTTGTGTGAGATAGCGGTGACTATAGATAGAGGCATTTTGTATTTTTCGCTATTCGCAATGGCAGGAAATAAAAGCGGTGCAGCTGGAGGACAGTCTCATGGAGGGCGAGGGCGAGATGGACGTGTCGGACTCGGAGGAGGAGCCGCAGCGTAAGAAAGGCCGCAATCCGTCGGACGGCAACGAGGATGCTGAGAGATTGCAAGCTTTGAAGGAGGAGAACGATAGTCTAAGGTGTCAATTGGAAGCGTATAAGAACGAGGTGTGTGAATTATCGCCACTTTATATGGAATGTTCCAAATGTTTGTAATCGTTCATCTGTGCATGCAAGCACACCTACAATTACCTTGCCGATTTACATTACAAGCTATCACCTGTTTTCAAAGCTGTTTTCATGAAGAGCCTGACTAATTCTTCGTGATTTGTTGCTTCTTTTGCATTATTAATATATTTTTGTAACATTTTTTTTTCTTTTATTTTCTTATTTATCTCTTTTTCTATTCTTTTCTTTTCATTTTCTAAATATGTTAGAAAGTCGGAAATTACGCATTGTATAAAGAGGTAATTTTCCATAGATATAAATCGAAAAGCAAACAAACTAAACTATGATCACATAAGTCGACTGACCGATCTCGAGATTGGCGTGAAAATAATAAAAAGTTCTCCTACAAACTTTTCTATCGTCATACACAGGTAGATCTCTTGAAGTCGGAGACGAAAACCGAGATGGATGGCAAGGATAAGCAGACGAAAATGCTGCAGAAGACGTTAAAAGGCATGCAAGACCAGCTGATGCAATCGCGTAAGCAGCAGGCGCAGGATGATCAGAAAATCAAGGATCTGACCATCAAACTGATGAACGCTACGAAAAAGGAGGAGCCGAGGGAGAGCGAGATTATTACTCTCGACAAAGACGACGACATAAGCGAAGAGTCGCGTACACCGAAGCAACACATTCTTGTCTCCAACTTCATACAAGTCACTCAAAAGGACGCCAAACTTATTGGTAAGCTCATTATAGTTCGCATGGTGACAATGAACGCGTTAGAGCAGCGTAAAGTTCCGACAAATGGCTGGAACATGTTTTAAATCCTTTGACTTCTGGCGCATCCTTAGGGAAATATGATATATAATAAAATATTTTTATTTTATAAAAGTATTAAGATACAAATATTTTTATTTTGTTAGCTTTCTTGAAATTATTGAATTACATATTATTATTTTTTACTTATGTTGGAAAAAGACTGTTTAATTTTACAAAATTTTTTAATTTTAAAGTCGCTATCTTATTTCCCAAAATTTGTTAAAATTTGCTTTTTTTCCACTTAATACGTAATGCAATTTTCCGCTTAAAATTATTTTATTGACTATGATCAAAATTTTTTTTTTTTTACCGAAACGTTTATGTGTTTGAGTCGTTATTAATAAATGATTACATTATATCAGGAAACAACTGTAAATCTACATCTATATATATATATATATATCTTTTTTTTGGGAAATAAGATAGCAACTTTAAAATTAAAATATTTTGTAAAATTAAACAGTCTTTTTTCAACATAAGTAAAAAAAATATATAATTCAATAATTTCAAGAAAGCTAACAAAATAAAAATATTTGTATCTTAATAATATATATATATATATATATATATAGATGTATATTATATATATACATATATATATATATATATAATATCTTATTAATATCTATATATAATATATAGTATCCTTCTATTAAAATAACATAAAATCTCCAAAATAAAAAACCGAAACTCAGAGAATTAAGATCTTCGCATTTTTTCATTGATAACGATTCATTGAAAATAATTGATTCATTGATAAAATAACGCGTAGCATGGATTTCAGGACTGATAGCAACATTTCTACATATTCATCCATTCGGTGCAAGTGTGGATTATCTGTGGTCGTACCTGCAGAAAATGGAGCCCGGCATCAAACCAAACGAGGTCGAGGTTCTGATGCAGCGTTTCCCGCAGGTGTTCAAGCAGGAGCTATTTGGCATCGGCGCAAACATGGAAAGGCGTTGGCAATTTTCAGGTTTTAATGTCTATCGCAATCATTGATAAATTCTTAGACGACTGAATGTAAAAAATTGCGGAAAAGTACGTTGTCTCATTCCTCTCTTTAGCGTTATTACCCACAGTTCGCAATTGAAGCTTATCGACGAAATAAAGAAGTCTCGTGTTCGTTTCGCTTTATAACAATGGCGAACGAAGTTCAATGTCGTAAACTAATGAGATATCTTTATTAATTTTAAACGCAGCGTATGATCTACAGTTAGATCTCGATTGCGTCGATAATTAGCAAAAATCGTTGAAAAGTTCGGGAAAATTTTTCACGTGCGACAGAATCTGATATTTTATATCAGATTTAATTTTAAAATTAATTGTAAACTAAGATAATTTCTTTTGAGGTCGAATTGCACAAATTTGATTTGTCATTATTAGACTGTTATGTTTTCATTCTCTCATATCTTTGTTTGACTATTGTTTTAAGTCTTTGAGTTCCTCACAAACTTCCTTTAATTTCATACATGTTATTTTAAAATGGGGATACTACAAATGTAAATCGTGTTTGAAAAATTTATTGCGTGAAAAATTGAAAGATTGATAAAAATTCAATTGTTATAATGAAAATCATTATACTGAATAACGTAATCACGTCTACAATCTAAATAGACAGTGAAATCGTGAGAGACAAAATATTTTTATTTTTAAAGATACATGCCGCATCTTTTTTCGAAGATACGTTGGGGTTCAAAGAGTTAAAAGTCGCGCCGTAGAATTAACGATTGTGCATAGATCATATAAAAACACTAGTTCAAATTACTAGAAATTAGACAAATTTCTAACGACTCTACATTGGTAGTCCTGCTCGGAGCACAACGTGGCGTAAGTTGACATTTGACTTGAGTTGTGATAGGTTATGTCAACCAGGTTTTGGCACTACAGTTGAGAGATCATAATACACGCCTGGTGTGTCGAGTGGCTGAATAAATACGAATAACCGAAGGCAATTTAAATCGCCACAAAAAAAATTAAAAAAGGAAGTTTAAGATTGAAGATGCAAATGAATTATTACGAAGTGCTCGGCTGCGATAAAGAGTCTTCTCACGAGGAGATCAAGCGTGCTTATCGCGCACGCTTGCTGCGGTTTCATCCCGATAAGAGCGATACTTCCAAAAGAGACGCTCGTGAATTTCACGAGGTCCAACAAGCCTGGAGCGTGTTGGGACATCCGCAATCTAGAAGGGAATACGATGCAGCTTGCAAGCAGGAGGAGTTGGAAAAAGAGAACGAACTCGTGTATGCTCGTCTCGCGTCCGACGAACTGGAAGAGGACGCTTTCGGCAACGAGTTGTTCTACCGCTGCAGGTGCGGCGATCGTTACTTCGTGCAGCGTAAGGACCTTTGCCTGCGGAATACTGTTCTGCAAGTAATCTGCGAGAGCTGCACACTCGTCATTCTCGTCGAGACTTAACGTGAATGAATGCTAGGCTTTTTATCAGTGACACAATGCAAATGGCAATGTTTCTCGATGCAATTGCGCGTAGGAATTTTCTCGAAAATACGTATGCCTCATGAAAGCGAGACTGAATTTCTTTTTTTAAGACGCGTATGTCCCCCGAGTGAGAACACGAGCTTGGACTTAATTTTTGTTCCTTGAGCAAGTGAGCTCATGTAGTGATTAACGCAGCGACAAAGATTAATTCGTGGTGCGTTCCTCTCAGCGTTTTGGTTGTGCAGTACGATAAAACAAGATTCACAGTTTATGTAGAAAGAGGTCGAAATCGAATATTTATTTTGTACAAAATATGTTTCTTAGCACAAGAACGTTGTGTGTACAGTTGTAATAATAAATTTAAAAAAGAAAAATAAAACAAAATCTAAAATATGCAGCAACATCTTTTTTTCTATTTCTTATATATAAAAAATGATACAACAGGTAACACATTCTTATAATATAAACTATTGAGCAATATACAAATAAACACGACACCTAAGTCTAGCCTAGGTCCAATAATAAAGATTTTATGCATTTGCACAAATAGCGTATTTCAAGGTAATGCCATTCTTGATATTTGATTCAGCAGAATCCATATAAAATTCGTCAGTAACATTTGATGTCACAATGATGAGTCTAAGTCTTCTTTGTCTCACAATTTGCACTAGATGGAAAGATCTGGCTAATACAAATATTCTATGTTTTTCTTTTTCTCTCTCTCTCTCTCTCTCAAGGCAAATCTACTCGCCACTGCTGTTGATTAAGTCATGCACTGATACTGCATGTTATAAAATTCATACGTTGGACATTGCTGCTATTTGATAAAGGTAAAAGCTTGTACTGTTCATCATCCCGCTATTGCACACGAATGACTGTGCTATTTTTTTTTTGTATTATTGCACCGTGACAGAAAAGTATTTTTTTTGCTACAGAAAAAAAACTTTATAAATTAAATTCTCGTTTAGAGTCGTTTTGTGATTCCAATTGGTGAAAGTGTTTCATATGCTTCCATTCAAAACGTCAACAATATGAAAATATCGACTTGTAAACGTTTATAAAAATATTTGTCTTTAACCAGATCGATGCTTGTACAAGTAGTAGTAAGTGAGGTGTAAAGTTATATCGGGATTAGGTTAAAGCTGCAAAGACAGTTAGATAGATCAACCAATAAATTATTATAAACATTATAACTTGGTGTAACAAGTGTTTGGAAGTTTTTTGTCATTAAAAAAGAAAAAAGAAAAACAAGGGGAATCTGTACAGTCCAAATGATGTGTATCGGAATTGTCGTCGGCTCTATTTTGTCGTTTGCTCCGGGGGATGTATGAGATTCTTCAAATAATGTCATTTTGCCCCGAAGTTTCGCACGATGCAGCTCCGCTGTTGTCTTCCATCATTGACAAATGCTGCTAAATGCCCACATAATAAACCGTGTTATGCTCTACGTGATAGATCATGATGAATTTCTTTGTTTCTTTTTTTTTCTTTCGTTTTTGTTATCTTTACACCGTCGATGCGACTCCACTGAATCGTTATAACAGCGAAAATTCAAAAGTACACTGATAAGCTCCTCGTTTTCCAGTAAGTTTCTTTTTTTATGAGTCTTATAAATCTCACGTTTCTTTTCTCTTTTTCTTTCTTTTTTTTGTACACCACAACAACCGCGCACGCGCGTTTTGTCCGACATGGATATATATATATATGTATATATATACACACACACACATATTATATGTACATATATGTGTGTATGTATGTATGCATTTATGTATGTATAATCAACCTTTTCCCGAGACGAGCACTTTTTAAAATCCACCTGGAGATCATTCACAAAACTCTCTTCTGTCATGCTCAGCAATTTCCTTCCTCTTTCCCTCGCCCATGCAAAACCACCCGATTTTTACGACGCGTACAGTCTTATCACAATCACACCATGTAATACATGTATCATTGTACAGTAGGTTAGCTTTAAGACTACTTAATTCAAATATGTACAGAAGTCGTACAAAGGGGGCGATTGATCCATCGCGGTGAAACGAGCGCACTATTTTACCTCAACGTCGAAGTCGAGAACAAGAAGTTTCGTCTCCTCGGTACCGTTACGACTACCTACTGCGCACACTAGTTTCGTATCACTCGCTCGAATTCTCCATACGACGCCGCCGCTGCCACCGCTTTCCAGAGCAACTAGGTTCCTAATGAATTCACCTACAATAAAAACAACGACGGGTTAACACGAACGAACGGACATGCGCGTTATTTGAATCGGAAACTAGCGAGCTCCGAAAAATCATACAAACCAGTCTTAACATCCCATAGTTTTACCGTACCGTCGTCGGAGGACGTAATCACAAAATGGCTATTGAACTGTAGGCAAGTGACCGCCGACTGATGCTTGTTTGGACCGGAAAGAGTTTGAAGGCAGTGACCACTAACAATGTCCCATACTTTAACGGTAGAATCGGCATTGCCCGACACTAAGATATTATTGCGCAGTTCCATCCCCGAAGTGAGAGACTGATGGCCCATCAGGGTGTGTCTACAAGCACCGGTTTCCACCTCCCACACCCTTATACTTGTGTCCAACGATCCGCTAACAACGTGCACACCGTCGAACTAAAAAGGAAGGGAATCGCAAAAAAAAAAAAAAAAAAAAAAAAGAGAAACTCACATCAGTATCGAGAAACAAGAGGCGAACGCTGACCCTTTGAATCCTGGCTTTTTTATTCTGGAAATTTAGAATTGATATAAACTGAAATAAAATGTTCATCGAAATAAAAATAAATAAAAATATCTCAACAACTTGATTTGAGAGACTGTTCCAGTAAAAAATTTAGAAATCTTGAAAAAAAAATAAAAACGATTTAAAAGAGTTATGAAAATTCAACTTCTTCATTGGTATAATTTTTTTTTCACGATAAATAAACCGTCACTACTTAACACTAAAGAAGTTACTAATGCATTAATAATTTCTAAATAAAATATTTTTGAAAAAATGAAATTCAAAGTACTCTATTAAATTGTATAAATAGATAAGGACATTTTTAGTGGTATACATTCTCATTTAGTGGTACATATTCATACCGCATTCTTTTAAAGACATGCCGGGACTCAGAGGGTGAAAGAAAGGATAATAGGACGGAACGCTCCGGCGCATTTTACCTGGAGGGAATAAACACGGTTGGTGTGTCCTTGTAAGGTATGAAGGCACTCCTCGCGTTCCGGATTCCAAACCTTAACCATATAGTCGTAGGCACCACTGACCACCAACTTCCCATCATATTGCACACATCTGACCGCCGCTAGATGTCCCACGAGCACATGCAAGCACTCCCCAGTGTCTACCTGCCACACTCTGAGCGTTGCGTCCCTGCTACCACTGACGACCTTGTTACCGTGTAGATGCATACACCGCACCGTCGACGTATGACCATAAAGAGTGTGAATACACTGACCGGTGTCCGCGTTCCACACTTTCAACGTACGGTCCGTACTACCACTAATAACGATCGTGCCAGACATCTGCGAAGACCACACGCCACCAGTATGTCCTACCAATGTCCGTAAACACTGAAACGGAAAAATATGACGAGGTATATGCGACGATTCAGTTTCTCTTTCTCTTCTCTCCTCTGCTCTCCTCTCCTCTCCTCTCCTCTCTCTCTCTCTCTCTCTCTCTCGTTTGCAACGATCGGACTCCTTGTATCTAATAAGAATTTAGTTACCTTGCCCGTGACAGCAGACCACACTTTTAACGTGTTATCGTCCGAGCCACTAACAATCCGATTTCCCGAAAATTGGAGACACGTGATAACGTGGTCGTCGTGACCTTTCAGCACTTTTGGCGTACGGATTGGTTTCGTTCTCCAGTTCATCTTGATATTATGCTGGCGCATATAGGCCTGCTTCCACGGTGACGAGTTGTGACTGCTATTACGGCAGTTCTTACGTTTAGGCAGCGGCAGGTCCTTCAAGTCTTCTATACCGGCGGCCTTGCATTTTTCTTTCCATAGTAGATTGTCGTCTGCGAGAAAGCGCCAATTCCGACAAGTCTGTGCTGCTCTCAAGAGATCCTTGGGCTCTAGAAAGGCCAACACCGATAACGCTAACTCTTTTGGCAGTAGCGATATAAAGTCTCGTTGGAACTGCGGCTCTATCACTTGCATCATGTGACGCACTTGCGTGGGTTCACACCGCTCAATTAATTCGTCTATCGCTAACATTCTTTCCGCGTTTGACCACCTCTGTAATAAAAATTGTTTCCAATCATTTTTTTCAAAAACTCACCAAGCGTAACAATATACGTGTTCTAATCAGTAGATAATTTATGTATTATTTCAATACAACACAAAGTTCTTATCAAAATACCTGAAATTGCAAAAGCCAATTGTTCATCTCCGGAGGAGGATTATCCTTGGTAGGAATGACACATCTTACATGTTTACCCTTATCATCTAGCTTTCTTGTGGTCCTGAAGAAAAGGGATACAAAAATCATTACATACTATGAACACAATTGTGGCTTCTATCAGTTAAGAAAAACAAACAATACTTACATTGAATGAGACTTTTCCTCTGGAATAAGCTTTTTACATGGTAGACAACTCTCTGTCTCACTTTTTCGCTTTCTTTGATGCTGAACAATGTCCAATGACACACAGGTATGCAATATTGAACTTTGAATTTGCTCAGGGAGCACTGATTGAGACTGCAACACAGGAGATTGACTATTGTTGCCCTCAACTTCTGCTGTACATTCGGCATCACAAAACAACCCAATGTCACTAATCTAGAAACATGACACAAAGCACTGATTACAGGGATATGAAATTAATTATTATAATAGCAACATGTAGATGTATTTTTAAAGCAGCCTATGAAACAGAGATAAATAATGCTTCAGAACAAAGGAAATAATATTCCAGGGATAATTCCTACAAAGCACAGGAAAGCATTTTTAAACATTGTAATATTTCGGTTCAGTTGAAATCCAGTTATTTATAAAGCAAAATGAAGAATAAAAGAACAGATTTGCAACTGCTCTACCATCTGTTCCATTCTCACTGTTGTTAATAAACACACTGTACACTTGTGTATAAAGTAAAGCTGCTACTGGCCTACCCCACTTTCTGCATCACTACTGTCTTCATCATCTTCATCCCCTTCATCTCCATAATCCTCAGATTCTTCGTCTTGTGGCAACACAACAGCATGCATAGGACCCAAAGAACTTGGCCCTGGAATTCCCTCGATACCCTCGATTGGACTAGGACTAGTACCGCCTAGTTTGTTATTGTCAGATATATTGTTGGAGGACGAGGAAGGGACAGACATTACTATACGCACTAATGTAGTATATATGTCTACCTGGAGAGACAACAGAAAACATTATCCGTTAGTGCCTCAATATATCATAACTTATTTTAATCGAGATCTCTTATTTGTTATAGTCTCTACATACAAATCGTAATTCAAACACAACTCGGGCGGAAATGACGCGTGTCGCTGCCTCATTGCATCACGAGATATCGCAGGGAACAAAAACAAGGAATAACAAAGAATCGCTCACGATGCACGAAACACGCGTGCTACGGTCTAGGTTAAAATCCGTCGGCACGGCAACACGATTCACCACCGTTCTCGTCCCACGAATTCGCCTAACCTTGACTCGTTTGCGCGCCGCGTGTCTACGATTCGCGGCCGAGACGTAGTCTCGGGATCGTTTTGCAAACAAAAAACCAACCGGCAGCCACACCCCACATATCCGCGCGAGCGGTGTGAATTCACGACGAACCGCGTGTACTAGGCAACTGCGTAAAAACGAGGTGGTTCTATACTTAGGGCGAACGTCGCGTTTCCGCTCGTCAGCCTCCGATCGCTGGTTCGATGACGTCCCTGACGATGCTGATGGGCCGACGGACGGTCCTGTGTCTAATTGTTGTACGACGGTAGTCCCTATCAAAGGAGCATAGCATTCATCTCTCTCGCGTGCGGTGGTCGTCGGTAATAGGTTAGAGATACGGGCGAAACGCGCTACTCGCTGCGGACGGGGCTACTGCGCGCGGAAACTAGGAGAACGCGAGCGTCGAGGGGAGATTAGGTAACGGACGTAAACACGGCGAACGACGGTTCCATCGGGCGGCCTCCTGGCAGGCTTTTGCAGTGACTTTTGGTCTGCACCTCTCCCGACTCCTTCGCACTCGTTCGCACAGCAGGTACACACAGCGTACACACATATGGCCGTGCGTCGCACGGTAATGCTGCTTCCACACATCACGACGGTGTCGGTTATTTCAGATGCTTTCATTGGCCGCATTCGGCGCAAGTTAATTATTGCACCTTTGATTGGAGTGCACTTCTGGATCCATTAGAAATTTGAAAGCATGTTCCAATCAGAGACTGCGTTAACTAAGGGCTGACTTCTGCGGAATTTAGTCATTGGTTACATTCGTCAGCACGAGATGATAATGATTATAGATCTTTAATTGAGTTATATTTGTAATCTGTCTGCCTTTTTTCCTCTCTCATTAAATGTCAAATATGTTTAAAGATGTATATATGTACATATCTAAATGAATATCATAAGTATGTATTGTACAAAGAACAAATTTATAAATTATCTTTATATACGATTTGACAAGTATATACTCGCTTGCACACGTGTTTTCCGATGCAATTCAGAACGCAGCCGATGTCCAATGGAAGAACGCATCTTTTGTGAAATACATTCTGCTATTGGACGTAAAGTTCCGAAGTGTACATTAATCTTCAAAAAAGAACAGGTCAATTGTGACTAAAGACTAAAGTTGCTCGTGAATTTTCAATTTGCACACTACGTCCATTCGTAAGCATAAGGTTGAAAATTGCTGGAAATTCTAATAAATAAATTGGAACATTTGTACACCTGAGTAGTATGCTATGTGATTAGCTTATCTAGTTATGGGTTTTGATGTATTTGTTGAATATAATCATTTATCGTTATGCCGTTTGTATCTGTCAAGTGTTTATTACTGTCGTAAAACTTTGCAAAATTAGATTTTAGATTTACTAGTGTTGTTGTTATCATCCGAGAACATTTTCGTTGCATTCTGTCTTTTGACTAGGATTATTATTTTCAGTTATAATTTATTATTATAATCATAATCACATGTATAGTTGTCTTTTGTAATTTCTGATGTATGTATTGTATCTTAATATATCTGAATTTGTTAGAAGGCAAAATGTCCATCGAATTAAAGACATTACTGAAAGAAGCTCGTGAATCCTTCAAGCAGCATGAATATGTAGAAACCATGAAAAAATGCAAGAAGATTTTAAAGAATGTCAAAAACAATTATGCAGCATTAGTTCTCTTAGCTGCTGCTATGCAGGAGGTGGAAGAATTCAAGTCACAAGTAGCATTAGTGCTACAAAAAGCTGCAGAGGTTCAACCGACTAATCCTGTAGCTTGGCAAGGTTTAGTAGCACACTATGAAAAAGCACAAAAGGACAATGACAATTTGGAAAAGTTGGCTATAGCTTATTGCAAACTTTTACAAGTGGATAAGTAAGACATTTTGTATATAGTCTTCAAAATATTTTGAATTATAAAAAGGATCAACAGAAAATTGAGTTTTTCTATGTTTTTTTCAGTGATTCTCCCAAATATCTTCAATTTTTAAACAAACTTTCTGAAATTGTCCTGAAAATCAAAAATAATGATATACTGTTTGAGGTATTGAACACATTGAATATACTACGGCAGCTTCCTGCCAAAGAGAAGACAAGTTTGATTGACAAGACTCTAGCACAGACTCTAACAGAATGTCCCAATATTCTGGAAAAGCATAAAGAGTTATTTGAGAATGTATTGGCATCTGTAGTGAAAGATACAGATGTAGTGAATAGACATGAGTATTATAGGATATATCTAAAGATGTTATATGACGCAAATAAATTGATACTTTTATTGGAAGAAGCTAAGGAGATGCACACTCAGTTCCCACAGGACAGTATTCCTCTGGGTGAGTTACTTGTCAGTTCTTAATGAAATGTTCAGCATATTAATATACTATAATGTAACTTAATGTGTTCATTTTGCTTTACAGAATGGATGTGCGTTGTTTATTATGAAGAGACCATATTACGTGAAAATAAACTTGAAATTGATATAACTCCTTTCTGTGATTCCCTCTTAAAGCTAAATATGAAATGTGAAATGGCATTGGTTGTAAAAGCAGCATATTTTATGTGCATAGATAATTTGATTAGCTCTCGCGAGTGTTTAAATCAAGCGATCTTGCTGAATGCACAATCATTTTATGCCTGGTTCTTGTTATACAAAGTATACTGCAAGCTTTATTGTTGGAAGGAGGTTGAAGAAGCTTCTAAACAAGCACTACAATTGCTGTCTCCTTCTTTGAAGGATACTTTACAGCATAACATTAAATTGACACTACTTGAAGCAATGAGTAGAAGTAACAATAGAGAGAAGTTATTACAGGCGCGACAGATGTGCAAGAAGGTGAGTGTTCTTGTAACATCTAATGTTTGAAAATTCTTTAAAGTAAGTAAAGGTCAATATAGGTATTTACTGATATATTTGTGCGTAGTTGTTAGAAACAAAGTTCTCCATGCAACTGCAACTGATATATGCCCGGATAAATGCGTCGTTGGACGAGCCTGAAGCAATCGCCATACTAAATGACTTGGAGTCCCAAGATGAGATTAAGATTCAAGTTTTCATCATCAAAGCATCATATCTGAAGAGACACAAGCACTTAGAGGAAGCCATCAACATCCTTGAACTAGCTCTAGAAAGTTCCGAGGCTTGGCTGTTGTTTGGTCAGATATATTGGGATATGAACGACTATAATCACAGCCTGGTGGCTTTCTTGAACGGTATCAAAGTGGATCGCAACAATTGGGAATGCATGATCCATCTGGGACGTTATTATTGTGAGTGCGCGAATGATATAGAACGCTCGAGGAGATGTTACCAGACGGCGTTGCAAATCAATCCAAACTCTGAGGAGGCTGGGATCGGCCTGAGCACTGCTTATCGGCTGCTCAAGAACACAGTGAGCGCTTATTGAAATTTCTTTCGTCGGTGTTGTTGAATCATCTTGATTTATTCGAGTTTCGACTAACGGTGGTCTCTTACATTAGGACGCTAACATACAACTGCTGCAGAATGTAACCATGCAGGGCATCGGCCCGAAGTGGGCATGGCTTCAGTTGGGTCTACAGCACTTGGACAACGGAGATGCGGTCGAAGCTATCAAGGCATTGCAGCATGTCATTCGAGCCGACCCTAATGACAAGTATACATAGCTCGTTGTTATTGTACCATGTTACAAACCTAGGCGACATGTCTCATCAATCTTTTGCGCTATTTTGTACAGTCACAGTTGGGAGTCTCTGGCGGATGCGTATTTAGTGCGCGGCGGACACATGTCTGCGCTGAAGTCGTATCAACGTGCGTTACAGCTCAGTCCGGGGTCCTTGTATCCCATGATACAACTTGCAAATATCAAGCTGGTAATATAAAATATTTTAATTAATTTATGTGTTGTTTAATAGTCTTGAGAAAAATATTTCAGCGTTTTTTATTATTTTGATAATTTTTCTAAATAAATCTGGTGATTTCTTCCTGTGTGTATGCGTGCGCGCGTGTGCGTGCGTGTGTGTGTGTGTGTGTGTGCGTGTACGTGTACGTATGCGTGTATGCTGAAATCACTTCTCAAATAAAGTTTTTTAAACACTCTTCATTTTTACACTTATCTGCGATATCTTTCTATTAAAATAACATACTAAAATATTCTTAAAAAAATGAAAGAACTCAAGGGTAGTTACACATGTCATAATTATTAATAGTAACATTTCTCTATCAGCTAATCGGCCAACACAAAGAAGCTAAAGAGGACTTTGACAGCATATTGCAGAATAACGAGCAATATATACTCGCATTAAAAGGCCTAGCTCAGACGTGTTTGGGTCTGGCGAGCGAGTGCACCTCGAAGTATTTGCTAAGTCAAGCGAGAGAAAATCTGCAGCAAGCGGCGGATAGTCTGACGAGTGCTGTGATGATACGGAGCAATCTGTCCTGCAATTGGAAATTATTCAGTGACGTGTGTTATAGAATAGCCGCTATGCCGATGAAGTATTGCTACTTGAATGTGAAACCTATTTTGGTAAAGTCCGATAGTACTAAACAGTACATCAAAGTTAAGGGAGAGGAAACACTCAAGTTAGCTATAAGGTGAGCATTACTTTCAAGTCAAGTAACTATATACTTAAGTGTGTTTCATTTTAAGATGATTACTTGAAAATTTGTGTTATTTATGTATTTGTCGAAATAAGGTCTTCAAATTTTACGTTTTGTTAAATAATATTTGGTATTGTTAGTTTATAAAACCTCATTTCATGCTACTCTACGCAAGTAAATTATCCCGTTTCGCTTTCAGATGCATCTGCCGGGCGTTGTCGCTCACGCAAAATTCCTCGTTGCTATGGCACGATTTAGCATGCTGTTACTTGATGCAACTGCGACGCAACTTCATAAAGGACGTTGACAAGAGCGACGTGGCGACTAAGTGTCTCGCTGCGGCGAAACAGGCAGTCAAACTCAGTCCGCAGTCGTGGCTACATTGGAATCTCCTGGGTATTGTTTGCATGTCGCAGGACGTGAAAAACTACGCCTTGGCTCAGCATTGTTTCGTCACGGCGATCGACAGAGAACCGAACAACTCGATAGCTTGGAGCAACCTCGGAACGTTGTACTTGCATCTAGGTACTCGAAGAGATAGCCGTCACTCTTTCGTTCTATTCGATCTTGAGTTATAAGTACGTACACGGAGAGCTTGTTTTCATATTAATTCTTCTTAATGTTACCATATCCCCAAGTTAACAAAGTTTAAGCATTACATCGATATGTTTCTCGGTTAGAAAACATTCTATAGTAATTCTTACTCTAAATTTTTCTCCGTGTACATTTTACGCGAATCGAACTGATGTGTGGCTATCTTGATTCAACAACATCAAGGAGACATCTACAGAGCGAATGAAGCGTACTCTCGAGCTCAACGCGCGGATCCAAGTTACATGAACAGCTGGATTGGCCAAGGATTGATTGCGCAGCAGTCCCTGAGGAAAGAGGGCATGGAGCTGTTTCATCACTCGATCCAATTAGGCTACCACGACGAGGCGGCTCTGGGCTATGCTCATTGCGTGTTTCACATCCTTCTGAATCCCATGCTAAACAAGGAACCATCGTGCGACTACTTTATAAAAAATATGTATGCGATACCTGCAGCGGCGGATGTTCTTACCTGGTACATAGGTGAGCGACGATTGACATCGCCTTATTGCATCCTTCGTGTTTTACTTTGATCATCTGCTTTATGTCATTTGCAGAACGTGAGCCTGACGACGCTTACGCTTTGAACACCCACGGTTTGCTGTTAGAACGGCAGAAATTGTACAACTCGGCGGCTAAGCGGTTCGCCGAGGCTTTGAAGGTATGCAAAAGCGAGAGTTCAGATATGATCCACATCAATCTGGCACGTGTCCTAATTCAGCTGGGACAGTATGACGAGGCGGTGCGGGTGTGCGAGCAAGTGAAACACGACAGTTTTAATTCCCAATGTCACTTGGCGTTGTCCTTGTTCAAAGGTAAATGCTCGCGAACTCGCTCACGTTTAGATCAAAGCCTCTGTTTCAATACCGTCTCTACAAGAGTTCTTTTAGACATTTCTCTCCATTCGCTCTCCAGCCAAATCCTGAGCACGTCAGTGCTCTTCAAGTATCAATTCAGTGTTGATCATGCTCTTTTTTTTTTTTTTATTTAACGCGGAGTCGAGAATGAGTAAATGCTTTTTTGAAAGAGAGATGAACGAGAGAAATGAAATACCGAGGAAATTTCGTCAACATGTTTTCGCCACCTCGAAGAAGCTTGATCTAGACCAATTTACTACTTCCAATCGATCAATTGACAATGAATAAGTAATAAAGAGAAAAATATGTCCACATGCGCAGCCGAGCAATATGAGAAGTCCTACGAGACGTACGAATCAACTCTGCATTGGCTGGCGGACAACGACACAGACAAAGCGTACGTCCTGTGCGCGATGGGCGCGATAGCTCATACTTTCAACAAGATAGACGCCGTGAAGACTCTGCTATTCCAGTGCATGCATATGTCTGAACCCGTGATAACCGCTTACTTGGCGCTCGCGGCCTTAGGAATTTTGCACAACGATCTCGACCTGACTGCTCTGGTGCTGGAGGAGTTGCAGTCATATAAAAATCACCCTGAGTATGGCCATCATACCGTCACGATGAATGTGTATTACCACATCTCTAAGTGCGACATCACCGAAGCTATCCGAATGTTGGCCAAAGGCATTTACAAGTATCCTAGTAAGCAAAATCCGTTGGTTGGTTCGTTTGCAGTCTCTCGGATACTCGAGAGCTTGCGTGTTCATGTTTCAACGGGATCCTCGATGTCGTAGGTGACGTCAGATATTGGATACGTCTCGTTCGGATCTTGCTGTTGGACACGAATCTGAGCAAGTTTCGCAAGTGCGCGGAGAAAGCCTTGAGTCTAAGCAAAAGTAACTCCACGCCCGAAATTGTATACGTCGCTTGCGCATCAGCGTATAGTCACCTGGGCACGAGGAAAGCTCTCAGGCAGGCTCAGAGGAATGTGTTCACGTATCCCGCCAATATCGAGAGCTGGGCCAACTTAATTGCCGTTTTCTTGTACAGGTCAGCGCGCTGAGATAGCGGTCGGGCGTCATCCATTTGACCACATTGCGATTGATCAAATGGGGGAAGATTGTGGTGAATCGCGACGATGAGCAAGTGGATGCCACCAAGTGGAGTAACTTGTTCATTTCCGGGTCTGAAGGTCCATCGTGAATCTTTATTTCTCAAATGTGGACTTGAAAGGCGTGAAAAGAAAAGCGAGAATACTTTTAAATGCTTTTAAATCAGGGAATGTTCATTTTTCACGAGTTACGTCGAAGAAAAAGATTCACAATGAACTTTCAGTTCTTTATATATTCTTTAATTACCTCTGTAGTCTTTCTAATTATTTTGTCATTTTAATTATTTCTCTCCCTTTTCTTCCATTGTATTATCTTCTTCATTTTAATTGCAAACAGTATAATTTTATGCAGCCATAAAGAACAGACTTCTTATCTATTAGGTGCGCAACTAAGTTCTCGCTGTTTTTCAAGAGATGGCTCCAGTAGTAAGTGCTGGTCGATTGTGACATAACCAAAATGTCATGAACCAAGCTTAGACATATGGTAAACAAACCGCTTTGACACATTAGTGGTTTTATTTTTGCGTCATATACTTTTGGTTATGTGAAAATGTCTTATTTTGTGCCAAATAATCATCATTTGCGGGAAGTGTTGCTTTTCTTCTTTCATTCGAAGAAAACGGCGGCTGAAGCGCATCGAGAACTCCAAAAAGTTTTCGGAGATGCTGCTCTAAGTGAAACAACGTGCCGTGATTGGTTCCGTCGATTCAAAGACGGTGATTTCGATGTTGACGACCGTTCGCGTGAAGGAAGCCCAAAAACCTTCGAAGACGCTGAATTGGAGGCATTGCTCGATGAGGATCCGTGCCAAACGCAAAAAGAGCTTGCTTCAGCATTAGGAGTTACCCGCCAAGCCATTTCCAAGCGATTGCATGCGTTGGGAATGATTAAAAAACAAGGAACTTGGGTTCCTTATGATTTGAAGCCAAGAGACGTTGAGCGTCGTTTTTTCGCCTGTGAACAACTGCTCCAGCGGCAAAAAAGGAAGGGTTTTCTTCATCGCATCGTTACGGGTGATGAAAAATGGATTCATTACAGCAACCCAAAGAGAACAAAATCATGAGGACTGCCCGGTCATGCTTCTACGTCGTCGGCTCGGCCGAATATTCACGCTGCGAAGGTTTTGCTGTGTATTTGGTGGGACTAGGACGGTGTTATTTATTATGAGCTGTTGAAACCGAACGAAACCATCACTGGGGAACGGTATCGAACTCAATTGATGCGATTGAGCCGAGCACTGCGCGAAAAGCGGCCACAATACGAGCAGAGGCACGAAAAAGTGATTCTATAGCATGACAACGCTCGGCCTCACGTTGCCAAACCCGTTAAAACCTACTTAGAAACGCTCAAATGGGAAGTCCTACCCCACCCGCCATATTCCCCAGATATTGCGCCGTCCGATTATTACTTGTTCCGTTCGATGGCACATGGTCTGGCTAATCAGCAGTTCCGCTCATATGAAGATATCTCAAAATGGCTTGATTCGTGAATAGCCTCAAAAGACGAACACTTCTACCGTGACGGTATTCGAGCTCTGCCAGAAAGATGGGAAAAAGTTGTCGCTAGCGATGGGCAATATTTTGAATGATTCATTTGTGACCATTTTTTCACAATAAAGTTGCATTTTCATCAAAAAAACAGTGAGAACTTAGTTGCGCACCTAATACTTGTGACGGTACCATTTTGTTTCTTTTGTATGACTTTTCTTTTCTTTACAGGTATATGGAAGAGGACTGTGAAATTGATAAACAATGGTTGTCGTCGTTAATATCTGTAACAATGGCACAATTCCAAACTTCTGAGCATATGTCGCGATGGCTTACCAGAGCGAAAGAGATTAGTGATTCGTAAGTTCGAGTAGAAAAACGGTCCTTACGATTTGTCTGATTTTATTATTTTTCGATGTTCTACACTCTGGATTTAATATAATAATAAAATTGCGTAATATATTTTATAAATCTAGTGAGTCTTGTTTTTGCAAACTCTCATCGATATTTACATGAAAATACCAATTATATTGCGAATAATAATGATAATGTGAGATTTATCGATTGTAAGTCAGTAAATTTATATTTATTTGGTATTTATTAGTTTGACTTGGAAGTTTGACCCAAGTTATACATCAACTATCATGAGATATATAAAATACAATCTACAACCCTCTTGTGTGCGAGATCCTTACAGTAGATCCCGCAATACCGGCCTGTTGCTTTGAGCGACCGATAACTGTCGTCGTTGGAAAAACTTGGATTGCGGTTGATCATCTCTCTGTTTGCGTCTTTGTGCGTCTTGTCTTATCTCCGCACAGATATGTCGTTCCAATGTCTACAATGGAAAAGTACAATTACATTCGGTACAAATTATTTTTGTGTGCGTTTAAGATCTCCTCAACGTGTAAAAAATTTGCAGATTTGCCGTACAAACCCTTGTTGAGCTATGCTGGACTTTTCCGTTTAGACTTTGACATTTCATTATAAAGAAAATCAATAATTACGTTCGATAGAATATATTCATAAACGACTAATGATTATTGGAACTAGTTAATATCAGCTAGATTTAAAGGAATTCATGAGATACTTGAATCATATTTATCGTTGATCATCGTGACGTTAACGGAAAGTCATGTGAAATTAATACGACACGGAACGTATTAACGATTAATATACAAATTATTATTTTAACAAAACATACCTCAGTCAAAATACGATTATTGTTCTTCAATAGTGCAATCAATTTGTATAATTCAAAATCTTCTACAATATTCTCCTTTACCATTGCATTTTCCAGGTTCTCAATCTAATAATGCGATTAGACAAAAAAATTAGACAAAATAAAACAGTATGTGTATATGTCACATTGTTAAATGCCTAAAACCAATTCTAAATTGTACATACTACATCTTTGAAATAACATTCTTTCTGGCTGTTGGGTCTATCATACTCTAAGGAAGTTCGAAAGATGGGTACTATCTCTGTGAATCTCTTTAGTTCTGTGTATGCAGAAACTTTCAGACATCTAATATCGATGTATCGAGATTCTTTGATTGAGGTTACAATTTCAATGGCTATATGAGGCATATTTTGATTAATGGCTAAAGCTGTTAAGAATGTTGCAGCTCTACGCATAAAGACGAATCCTTTTCCAATCAAGTCCTTCCAAATATCCAAAGCATATTCCAGAGTCTGTGGTGTGTTCTGAAAACATTGAATATAATTATATAAAATAAACATTGATATTTTAATTGCAGTTACAGTTAATTGTTACCTCCTTATAACAGGCAGCCATAACCAATATCAGTGCATTCCTGGGGTACAAGCCATTTTCCATATTTTTGTTCTTGATTATGTCGTACACTTCTTTCATTTCTGAGTACTTTCCATGTTTGTACAACAAACACAAAAGGATTTGGTAACTGATCAATTGATCAAAGAAATTGTCAAAATTGGGATCTTTAAAAGCAGTGAGTGCAAGATCTGGTTCATCCAAATAATAGAAAGTACGCATCACAACAGGACCAAAGATGAAAGTACCAAATCTCAACTCTTTATTTTGAGTGTTAAATTTTGTTAACATTTTTACAATTAGCTCAATATCTTCTGATTTCTTTTGAGCTAAATGTAACATGGACTTTAAATCTTCTGTGAAGATCATACTTGATTCCGTATTACATACTTCTTGCATCTTGGTACGGAATGTATTTTCCACATTTAAAAATTGATTACGGAAATTTAATCTTGCATTTTCATAGCCCTGTATACCCAAACTCTGATCTGTATATAAGAACCTGCAGGCTGCAAGAATATAGAAAAAATATCATGAATGTATCAGAATTTAGTAAAAAATTTGTCACAGTATATGTAAAAGTTAAGTTTAATGAATTAAAATACACATTTTACTTTAATCTGTTATCACTAAAAATTGCAATTTTTCTATAAAATATAACCCAAATATTCAATGCTAGAATTATTATTAAATAACTCAGTGGTAATGCGTTATGGAATTTTATGTAATACGTTTTGAGTGCTAGGGTGAATTCAGCGGGCAATTTTGTTGAATTTACTCTTCTGAATTTAAAATGTACATATCTACCTGCACAAATCATTTGAACGAAATTATATTATATTTATATTAAAAATCATTCGTATAATCATATGAAGAATATATTGAATAATAGATAAATAATAATAAGACAAGTAATATTAAATTCTTTTTAATGCTGCACGTTGGTATAGAATAGTGTAACGTTAGGTTAGATAGATATTACGTACAATTTAATAGATTATTTCTCAACAGAGTATTGCTGGCCAGGCTAACGTTAAGCCTCATAAGACCTCTTATTGTTGCCGCCATTGAATTTGCGTACAGACAACTCGAATTCTTTTCTCAATACTCCGATATTACAACTCGTAATTCGAGCTATTGATATAAACTGCTGAACGATCCGCGACACCAAGTGAGGAAGAAAGCTGGCCGGAAGCTAGCATGAACTATACACACTTTTAGGAATCACATATCACACGTGACTTCCGATGCGGCAGTCACAGACGAGCCCATTGGTCTGTTCTTTTTAGCTGCACTACTGAACTGGTGCAATAAGTTAAAGTGAGAAAAAATATAGTTATCTCATTCTAACTTATTGCACTAGTTCCGCAGTGCAGCTAAAAAGAACAGAACAAATACCAACAGAGAGGAGCGTGAGAGCGGCCAACACGGTGTTTTCAACGACACCGACTTTCCGTACTGAGAAAGGGCGCCATCTGCATCCATTTCGAGAAGGGAACTACGATGCTACATCCACTTTCAGGTTTCGGTGGTAAAACCTGTATGTGGTGGCAGTCCGTGCTACATCCATTCTTAGGCGGTTTATGTCCGTGCTACAATCATAATATAGTACTTGACAAGCACGGTCTCGCACATTGTTACACGTTTATAACATGAATTAACATGTTAACATGTGCAAAAAAAGAAGAATTGACATTGTGTATGATTAATATCATGAAGATCATACGAAGTGTCCGGTAATTAGCTGCCAACCCGAAGTGTGAAGGTAGATTGGGTTGAGACAAACATAAAAAAGTCCTATACCATTTTGCGAGATTCGCAATCATTATCGAGTTAATAATGACAGAAATCTGAGGAGTAAAAGTGCACCGACATAGATGATTCGAAAAGCGTTGCAGCTGCTCGGGGCAGCGATCATTGGTCTATTCTTTGTAGCTGCACTGTTGAAGTGGTGCAATAAGTTAAAGTGAGACAAATATAGGTTTTCTCATTCTAGCACAGAGCTCGGCAAAAAACGCACGCGACGGCCGATTTTCGACTATCCCCGCCCTCCGCTGTTCCCTTTACCTCGCCACTCCGCATGCTGCCAACAAGCTGCTCGAGCCTCAGGAGCGTGTTTTCAACAGTTTCCCACGTCACCCATGAGGTACTATTGTTGACGCGTTTTTCTTTAAGTGGTATCCCCAGTAGGCCTAATTTATAATTCTATAGTCTATAATCTATAATCTATAATTTTTGAAAATGAAGTTTATAAAAAATGAGAAGCGTTCTTCTTTAAACGACGATTCCTTACCACGTCTTATGCGGCTCGCTACATGCAATATGCAAATTGACGTTTCCACTCTTACTAATAAAAGACGCCGAAAATCGAATTAAATATACTTCATTTAACATATTTTATTTCGCTTCTGTTCAATTAGTTACGGGTTGTTACAGTCATCAGTGGATTAGGCCTACTGCGGTTACCACTCAAAAAAAAAACGCGTCAACAATAGTACCTCATGGGTGACGTGGAAAACTGTTGGAAACACGCTCCTGAGGCTCGAGCGGCTTGTGGGCAGCATGTGGAGGGGCGTGATAAAGGGAACAGTGGTGGGCGGAGATGATCGAAAATCGGCCGTCGCGTGCATTTTTTGCCGAGCTCTGTTCTAGCTTATTGCACCAGTTCAGCAGTGCAGCTACAAAGAACAGACCACATGCATCTTTTCCCTAGCGTGAACTAATAAAAAGTGAAAGACTTCTGTGAATCAGTGAAAAATGCAAAATTTTATATGAATTTGTGAAAATCGAAACATTTCACACGACAATTGAGTCGTTCAACATGGCAGTTGCGCGTTCTGGATAATTCAATGAATACCAAAGAAATCAAAATGATCAAAATAATAATGTCCGTATAGTCCGAAGGATATTACGTGACACGCAAAATCCGTTTGATATAATATCCAAAGAAAATGTTTCAAAATATGTATGTACAGGTAATATAAACCTTATGCACCGACGAGATATACTACAAAGACTGATAGCCTTACGGGATTTAGCGTATCAGAGAAATTTCCCTGGTAAGGCATCCGGGCGAAAGAGACCGCCTCGCATTTAGCGCAGTAAAATTTAATGGAAACTAATTTCAATCCTTTTCTTCGGATCAAAAAGATTCAGAATTCAGACATATTCAAAATGTCAATACTTTTTAATACGTTTCAATTAGACATTTTATACAGGGAAGCAGGACGAAGGAAATCGGATGCGGACAACGATACATCATGCGTCTCCAGACGTCAAATCGTTTATTATAGAGGAGACTTTGATACGGCAACATGTATTCGAATATTTAATCGTCCCATGGACCACATATATATAATAATCTCTCAAGATTCGTAATTATTTCTTGCATAACTAAATCCATCCATAAGTGACGTGATTACTCTCCCTGTACAAGAAAGTAGCTGCTGCTTATGCTATTCGAAGCCTCGTGAACGATATTAATCCGTTACGCAGGATCGTTTAAATCGTCGACGGCCAGTCGACGAGGTACAAATTTGTTGATTAGTATTTCGCAATTACTTGTCCTTACGTATTAAGCGGTGCGTGTGCGTCTGATCACGTGATACGTGCTTTATTACAATAATCTGCGATTTCACGTGCAATGTGCATATTTCGCATTTGAATTAGCATCCGCGGGACCGAGTATACGTGCACTTGTATAATACTATAACTGTAATAAATTAATTACCTCCACAATCATTGCGTTCATTTATTCTATTTCGTTAATCCGTTTTTATTTGTAAAACTGATATAATACATAATAATGTACATATTTACTCCATCCGCTGTTCGATCATATATCTTGAAAATAAAACTACAAACATATCTTCAATTTATCGTTAAATTGCACTATTTGACGATTAAAAGATCTTCCGATCCACTAATGAGTCGTTCTTTAAAAAAGAAAGACCTCTGCTTTATCGTTGAATTCTACTACTTCCTCAATTGGTTTCTCCTGGAGGTAGAAACAGTGGCGGCTCGTAGCGGAGACTTCGGAACTAATCTTTTCAAAAGATGCAAATACGAATTGCTTTGAAAGCGTAAAAACCCCATTTATTATAAATTTATATACATATTAGTTTATTACAATATATATTCATATTAATTCTACGAGAAAAAGTTTATGGAAGCCGGTAAATTAAAGTTCAATTCGTGGATAAATATAGAAGCCGATAAATTGTGGTTCGAGTCTTGACTAAATTTTATGGAGGTAGAAAAAATATGGTTTGAGTCTCGACTAAAGTTATAATTTAAATTCGGAAGCCGATAAATTATGATTTGAATCTTGGCTAAAAAATAATATTTCATAATATATAAATAAAATACAATATATAAATATTAGTGTTATCTGCAGCAGAGAGGAACGTGAGAGCGGCCAACAGAGCGGCCAACGTTTTCAACGACACCGACTTTCCGCACTGGGAACGTTTACTATAGAGGAGACTTTAATACGGCAACATGTATTCGAATATTTAGTCCCATGGACCACATATATATAATAAAAAAAATTAACGCGGATAAATGAACGATTCGTATCAATTTTTCCTTTTCTTATAGAGCAATGAAAGAGTAAATCAGTATCGAAAATCGAATACCGATTAATACCATAAATCAGTGTTAGAAAATTGTCCAATGACAATTTGTTCTCATTTTTCAGGTACTTACCGCTGTAATTTACACAACAAATTAATTCGGTTAAACGAACGATTCCTACCATTTTTTTTCTCTTATAAAGAACTGACAGAATAAATCAATACCGAAAATCGAAGGCCGATCAATACCTAATTTATTCATCAAATTAACGCGGACTAATGGACGATTCGTATCAATTTTTTTTGTCTTTTAAAAAAATGAGGAAATAAATCAGTACCGAAAACCGAATATCGATTAATACCATAAATCAGTGTCAGAAAATTGTCCAAGTGCAATGACAATTTGTTCTTATTTTTCAGGTACTTACTGCTCTAATTTACTCAACAAATTAACTCTGTTAAACGAACGATCCGTATCAATTTTTCTTTTCTTATAAAGAAATCAGAGAATAAATCAGTACCGAAAACCGAAAACCGATCAATACCTAACTTTTTCATCAAATTAACGCGGGTAAATGAACAATTCGTCTGAACTTTTTCTTTTCTTATAGAAAAATGAAAGGAGAAATCAGTAGCGAAAATCGAATACCGATCAATATCGAATCTATTCATCAAATTAACGTGGATAAACAAACGATTTGTATCAATCTTTTTTTCTTTTATAGAGAAATCAAAGATTAAATCAGTCCCGAAAACCGGATATTGATCAATACTATAAATCAGCGTTAGAAAATTGTCTAAGTGCAATGACAAGTTGTTTTCATCTTGCAGGTACTTACCCCACTAATTTACTCAACAAATTAAGTCGGATAAAAGAAAGATTCCTATCAATTTTTATTCTCTTATAAAGAAATTAGAGAATTAGTCAGTACCGAAAATTGAAGACCGATCAATATTTAATTTCTTCATCAAATTGACGCAGATAAATGGACGATTCGTATTAATTTTTTTCCTTATAGACATATGAAAGAGTAAATCAGTACCGAAAATCGAATATCGATTAATACTATAAATCAGTGTCAGAAAATTGTCCAACTGCAATGACAATTTGTTCTCATTTTTCAGGTACTTACCCCCCTAACCTTATTCAAAAAATTAACTTGGATAAACGAATGATTCGTATCAATTTTTCTTGTATTATGAAAAAATGAGAAAATAAATCAGTACCGAAAATCAAAGACCGTTCAATAATAAATTTATTCATCAAATTAACGCGGATTAATGAACGATTCGTATTGATTTTCTGTTTTCTTATAGAGAAATGAAAGAGTAAATCAGTACCGAAAACCGAATATCGATTAATACCATAAATCAGTGTCAGAAAATTGTCCAAGTGCAATGACAATTTGTTTTCATTTTTCAGGTACTTACCCCTCTAATCTTATTCAACAAATTAACCCGGATAAACGAACGAATCGTATCAATTTTTTTGTCTTTTAAAAAAACGAGAAAATAAATCAGTACCGAAAACCGAATATCGATTAATACCATAAATCAGTGTCAGAAAATTGTCCAAGTGCAATGACAATTTGTATTCATTTTTTAGGTACTTACCCCTCTAATCTTA